AGCCGAAATCAAAATACAATTTTAAATGGTTCACTTTCTTTTAATTAAACTGGTTCCAAAAATACAAAAAAAAAACCAGCCAAGTTAGCCAGGTAGACCAAGTTAGCCTGGCTAGTTGCCCCCTTAGTTACCACGCCTCCACCCCTGGGTCGACTTTCAGCAAGTTTGTCCACTTTTTATGGACGTTTTTTTTCGGGTTTTTGGGTGCAATTTGCTAACAATCGCCAAATGAAAATTTACTCAACAAAAAAAAAACTCTTAAATATAAATTAATTACTTTTACTTGTTATTAAAATGCATAGAAAGTTTTACAGAAAAATTGTGATTTTTTTGGGGATTTTTATTAGATGTTTTAGTTTTTACTAAATTTTTAAAGAATTTAATATTAATAATGAAATGAAAACGTTAATATTTCGTCACCCAAGAAGCTCTTATAAATTTATAATTATAATTAATAATTAATTAAATTAGATGCTACCATAAATTAGATAAAAGTACAGAAACAGTTGAAGCTAAATTATAAGGATTTAAGGTTTTAGGGGATTTTCAGTTAATATTTAAGAAAGTATCAATCAGCATATAGTAACACTTTATTTGGAAAACTCTCGTTTTTAACCATTTTAAGGAATTTATTTCTATATAAGAGTCAGTTTGTAAGCATTCTACATATCTTTAACCATTTAAAGATTTATTTTCTAAAAACTAAATATACCTATAATACCCTAAATATCTTGAAAAAATACTAAATATTTAACCAATAACTCAAGCTATCTTAAGACTCCCCACAAAACCCCCCTTTAAAATCCCGTTTAAGCCTGGTTAACCTCTGTATCTTGGCCATTGTGAACTCCCCGTGACATCTAAACTCGAAAATTGCTGTAATATTCCTTTTGTTGAAATCCCAAAAGCCGCCAATCAAAAATCTGTAAAATCCAGTGATTAACTTTTGAGTTTTTTTTTTTTTTTTGAATAACCTGAAAGTCAAGAGCAATTTGTCTGGCCTGGCGTTGCAAATTTTAAATTTTTCAGACCCACTCTGAGGCTGGTTTTTGAATGCCACAAAACCACAAAAGAGTGTGGCAGAGTGGCATGATGGGATATGGGGGGATGAGGCAGAATATGCAGACAACGATGACATCGTTTTCCCAGTTGTTGCAGCAGTTGCAGTTGTCAACTGGCATTCTGTTGGCTGGAATGGCGTTCAAATGGCGTTTTGGCAAAGACCGAGAACGTGTCAAATGGCCCCTGACTCCATTTCCCCGGCTATACAATACCGTTTTGGCCATTCAAATTTGGGCCAAAGGGCCTGGGAATAGTCGTCACCCAACCACCCAACCCTCCAGCCACCCACTGGCGTGGCTTTTGTTTGTCTGCCAGTCTGGGATTGTGGGAATCGGGGAGCCTGGGAGTTAGAGTCTCTGGGTCTCCGAGTCTCCTAGTGGAGCTGCCAGCTTCAAGTGCAAACAAAGCTCAGATTGGATGGAGTGATGTTTCGGATGGGATTGGGACTAAAGTCCAGTCTGGGAGGGGAGGGAGGTCTTATCATCCGAGGCACAGCTCGACTCGGAAGAGCCAACAACTTTATTGGGCATGTTTATGCCACAGAGTGCTCGAGTCGGTCTTGATATGCCACATGCCACATGCTACATGCCCTCCGGTCATCCCATTCAGTGTGCTCTTCAGTTCTGGAGATGTCTTGAGTTTGGAAAACTTGAGGAAAACATTATGCTTTCTAAGCAAACTCTGGGACTTGATACTTGACTTGAAATTTACTTGCACTGGGGAAATTTTTGTATTTGGTATTTCTAAGAGGTTTTTAAGGTTTCTAGAAAAGAAAAAGATTAAGAAAATAAAAATAAAGGTATTGGCTTTAGTGTTTATAACGATTTTTTTAAGAAAAGCCTCAAAAGAAAGGAGAAATATTAAAGTTTCTTAGTTTTTAAATGCTTTTGGTTTTAAATGTATGATTAGGTGAAGCTTTTTTAAAAAAGGTTTTGTTATTATTTAAGGATTTGAGGAATTATTTAATGATATTAAATAAATATCAGATACTTAGAAATAACTCAGATGTTAAGAAATATACCAGATATTCAAACAGTTACCAAATATTTAGAAAGATGTCAGCTTTATAGAAAAATAGTAGATCTTTAAAAAGATACCATTTGCTAAGAAAGATATCAAAAATTTTGAAGGATGTCAGGTATTTAAAAAGATACCACCAAGTTAGAATTATACCAAATGTATAAAACGATTCCAGATATTAAAAAAGAATGCAGACATTTATTATAAAGATTTAAAAATCTAAATACATTGAGGACTAATAAGGGTTTCTTATCTTCTAGACTTTAAAGTAGTCTCAGTAGTAGTTCAGTAAAGTAGTTCAGTACTAGTATTTCATGTTTTTTATTAAATTTTCATTTATAATAACTAACATATTAATTCTATAAACCAATACAATTTTCCAAAGGGAAACGCCTATTTCTATTCTTTAGGTCTATAGCTTTTTAAAGCTATATTTTTTTATTTCAAAATTCTAGAGTCTAGATATAAAAACTAAGCAAGTATTATAATTTAAGAAGCTAATAGGAAACTTGAGATTACGTTTAAAAAAATATCAAAAGAAACCCTACATGATTTTGATAATATAATTGGAATCTCTATTACCCTCTATAACCCCATAATAATTATAATCCCAAATGCAACTGATAATCAAAAATCATAAACCCCTTAACCGAATTGAAATATTAATTCCAATTAAATAGCCAAAACTTTCCACAACCATCTACCGTTGACAGACAACAAAAACTGAGAAGAACAATAAGCCAAATCTAATAAGCCATAAGCCATGATTTTGATGGGCCGTTTTGGCCTCATCCGGATTCCGAGTTGCCGGACTCTCACTTTTCGAGGCTAACGAGAGGCAAAAGGCCTGCTGGTGGTGGTGGTGGTGGTGGGGCTGCTGGATGAATGCACTCGAGTCTCGAAATGTGCCACGAAAAAGTTTCCATTTCATTATTGGAATGTGTTTGTAGAAAGGCAAAGAACAGTTAGACGACGAGACGCCGCCATGTGTGTATCTTTCAGCTTTGAGTTTGAGTATCTTTGATGGCTTTGAATACGAAATTAACATTCTGCCGAAGAATGAATAAGAAAAAGGTAAGAAAAGACTGGCATCTAAAGCGGCATATGCATATTTGTACATGTATCTGAAGCTGTACCTAGATACTCTGTATCTGTGTGTCTGACTGACCAGGCCTGAGCTCCGTTGTATCCGTGAGTTTGTCAGTCAGTGAAAGATAGCACTGGGAATAGAATTTACTGGGTCGATCATAAATTATGCGTCATCATCAGGTATCAGAGGAGAGCAAAAAGACTAGGGGGGGAAGAGAGAGGGTGTTTTAGGCCAAACAATGAATGAATTTCAAATGAATCTGTGAATCTGGCTAAGAAATGTGAAAGAGACCTTGAGTCAAGGGTCCAAGTATCTTAACCAAGTCCAGTATCTGGCCAGAGACAGAGATAGTTGATCTACGCTCTTTTTAGCAGAAACTTGCAACCTGGACTTGCAACCTGGGCAACCTGCAACTTGAAAACTTGGCAACAAGTCGCATTTATGGCCAAGTCGCGTGTTTGTTCGCTTCTGCCAATCTGGCTCCGTTTTGTGTGGCAAGAATTGAGTTCATTGTGCCACTGCTGCCACTGGTGGCACTGCTGCCACTAGTGCCACTTGTGTCTCTACTGCCACTGCCACATTGGCGTGCTTTGGATTGTCGCATCGGCTTAATTAGAATTCGAAGTAGTTAACGGTGCATTTAATGCGCTCCAAAACGGATCAGATGCATTAGCACCGCTTCTACCACTCACTTGTCTGCAGATACTTGTCTATCTACCAGATACACTCGTCGTACCTCGTGTTCTATTTATCTCTATCTCTTGTATAGCTGTATCCATTCGCAGACTAATGATGATGCCCCCCCAACCACCAACTGACGAGAGTTGTCATAACTCTGGGTGTAATCTGTCCGAATGAGGGATTGCCACAAGATCGCCATTTGGGCAGCATGTGGCAGGCAGGTGTCGTCGGGAAAGGTGTCAAAACCGTATGGTAATAAACGTGTTTTATTTTCGGATGTTATCCCCCTGTTGGCTGTCCACAAAACATCTTTCGTTCGGACTTAATTAATAAGTCTACAAGATGGTTAGCCAGACTGGGCGAATAATTGGCTTCTGACCTATAATGTCTGGTCAATAAATGTGGTCTAAATGTCTGAAACTTTGTAAGACATAGTATTTCATCATTATTCCACATGGTAACTTATTATATTCATATATTTTCAAGATTTACCATAGATTTCATATAAAACCGTATTATAATAAGGTTATATTATAACCTCTAAGATCTATCTAAAAATCAGCTATAAAAGTCTGAAAACTGGTAAATGGTAGTATTTCTTCATAATTCATCATTATAAGCAATATTATTCACTTATTTTAAAGAAATACCATAGATATAATTAAAAAGTCTATTATTATATGGTTCTTACCTATTATATCTTCCTAAAAAATAGCTCTAAAAGCCTAAAACTTTTTAATTTCTAATATTTCATCAAACTACCTCATAATAACCATTTATAAAAGAATATTTGAGGTATTTTCACTCTATTTTAGGTATGTAATACAAAAATGTGTTATAATAGGGTACGGTCCACTAATATTTGGTTTATCTGGTCTGGAACTAGTCTGAAAACTTTCCTTTCATATTATTTCATCAAAATACCTTATAATAACCCATCATAATCAAATTGTTTTAAAAGAAACCGTAGATATAATGCAAAAATGTATTATAATATGGTTCTAATCTAAAATATCTAGTCTAAAACCCTGAAAACTTTCTATTGGTATTATTTCATCATTATCCCACTATATGGTATAACTCATTATTTTCAAGCATTTCAAATATTTACCATTTATTTAATACAAAAATATATTAAAATACTCACCGAATCAAATATTCTCAAGTTCAATACGCAATAGAATGCGTATCTCTAATTTTGGTTGAAGATTCTGTGGAATTCCTTAGTTTTCCTTAATCCAGTGACTTTGAAATTCCGTCTGTATTTTTCAGATACAATTAAAATGTGTGAGAAAAGCACAAAAACAAAAAAATTTATATTTTTTTTATAAATAAATGAGGAGATTCTTGGCCAAAGAGGTATAGAAGATTCAAAGTGAAATCGGAACCGTCTATCTAACACGTAACGCAAATAGAGTAAAAATCTATAGTTCTGTAAGACCTAACTGACATACACAGAAAGAAATAATTAGTTAGTTTTAGCAATCTTCAGGTAATCTTGACTGTTTCTTGATTAAAAATCAGAATATAAATCTGAAAGCTCCTCTCCCCAAAACCCTAAAACTAAACACTCTTTTCTTTCAGTGCAGATGTCCGTGCCTGGGGCATCTGATTGGTGATTAGTTGTTTTGTGTCTTTGGGTCAATAAATAGTGCACCTGTTTGGGGCAATGGAAATGGGTGTGTGGGAATGATACGACCGAACATCCCCAGCCGGATGACGTTGCCACTTTCGTGGGGCAAGAGATGGCCCCTGGCCCCGGGCCCCTGGCTCCACCAACCGTCTATCCAGGTGTATGTACGTGTGATTGTTATGATTATTATTATGTATGATTGTTATTTTTGTTGTCTTCTTACTGTGGCAGTGGGAAAAACTTTGGAAAGTGCCGCACACGGATCGTCGAGTTGCATGCAACTCAGCGGCTTTGATTTTGATTTCGATTCGATGTTAAGCTCGAGGAGTAGAAGACAAAACAAGCAAAAAGAAGAGATTCTTCTGCAGCAAAAGAATCAGATAGCAAAGGAGGAGAAGACAGAAGACTCAGAAGCAGAAGAAGCTACAAGCCAGCAGCCGCATTTGTGCTAATTGGGAAAATTAGAAAGCATGAAATGCTCGGCTGCATTTGCTGTCTAGCTGGTTAATCGGCTTCCGAAGAATCTGAAGCCGAGTCTTCTAGCACACACCACCACCCCACTTCTCTGACTGCTTGCTCTTCACTCCCATATCCTGCTTAGCCTGGCTGAAGGCTATTTGTTTCACACGAAATATATAAAAAAAAAATATATATAAAAAAATAAAATAAATAATAGAATTTAAAGAACACTATCTTTCTGGTTCACTCACTTCACTGAAGACTCTTCTACACGCCTCCTACTCCAACTTCAACTCCAACTCCTTCTCCTTCAACTTTTCTCGTTCTAGCTCTTTCTTTTCTTTATAGCTCTCTCACTCACATGCACACCTTGCGATTTGGAGATTTGTGCAAGTAACGGTAATCGGCGGCAGCAACAACAACCACAACAACAAAAAAAAAGTTATGCACTAACACTAGGTTGCACTTCTTCGGGTTGGTAGAAGTTTTGGTTTTTTTTGGGTAAGTTTTGCCCAAGGTATCTCTACTGGGCCGAAAATGAATCTCGAATATCTCGAAACTCGAATCACGATCTTCTCCAACCGATTCTACCGGAGCGTCTGGCGGAGCGACTCTCCGGAGCGTTCTTGTACGTTCTTCTCGCACACAAGATCTGACGACCAGAGCGGTACGAGACCAGAGCAGCACGTGTGGACTCGGCGAGCGACGAACGCGAAATACGCGACCCAGCCAGGCGATACTTTCTTTGGCCTCGTAATGTAACTGTCGGGAACAGAAGTGGCAGCAACATCAGCAGCAGCGGCAGCGGCAACGACGACAGCAGCCTCAGCAGCAGCAGAAGACTCAGAAAAAAAAAAGACAGAGGCCATGGCCAGCAGAAGAAAATCAAGCCATGCCAGAGCGAGAGGCACACTATCTCGCACTCACACTAACACACACGCAGACGGCTCAAAATCCGACAACTGCGACGCCGACTGCGGCTGCGCAACGAGCTTTTTATACTCTAACCTCAAAGGGGTATAGGGCGTTTCTTGAAACTAGTTTGAAAAACAAACTGCTTACAGAAGGGCTTGATAATTCTATTTTATATTTTATTTTTTGAAAACTAACAGCTTTATAGGGTTTATAAGCCTTATAGGGCTAAAAATAACGCCATTTTTTCCAAATTATAATACAAAGTGGAGGATAACAGTCTAACCTGGCTCTTAAAATAAAGTATTTTCTGAAGTATCACTAAAATAAAGATTTTTAAAGTAATTATTGAATTATAATAGTTTTAAAAATAATTGACATACGTTTTTGAATATTAAATTTGTAATAATCAATTAAGCAAGTACATATATAAATAAATGAAGTACATTTTTTAAATACTACTTTCTAAGCATATTTTTAGGCAAACAATATTAAAAAATTTAAAATGTGATAAAGACTTGGAAAAACTTTTGATAGCCTGGATATCTTCACACGAATGCGGTTTTAAGTATTCTAATAGATGTTGAAGATTAAATGATCTTCTAAAATTGAAATATTCTAAAAAATACAATTTATTTATTATTTATATCAAAAAACAAACATTTATTTAAAAATAAAACGACCGAAGAAGAAGATGTTTAGATTCCTAAGAACTTAATTATATCAGAACTTAATCCTATCAGAACATAAATTTGTATATAAATAATTCGTTAAGAATGTTTTATTTGGAAAAAAAATGCATTATTTAAAAATATACTTCAATTAACCTAATATATCAATATTAGCTAATATCAATTTAATATCATTATTACCTTTTAAAGTGTATTAACCTTGCGACTTGCCACAAGTAACATAACTTCTACACCTGTGATGGCAGCAGCTGCGCAAATGAGCACAGAGGCGGGCAGATCTTGTTTTTGGTGTTGCTGTTGTTGGTGTTACTGTTGTTGGTGTTACTGTTATTGTGTTTGTTGTATTTGTTGGTATGACCATTGTTGTTGTTGCTGCTGCAACTGTTGGCAGTGGCAGCGCGACTGCGGCGCCGCTAATCAAGCGGCCTAATGACATAGAATCGGTTGCCAATTAGAAGACCAATAAAAAAGTATAGCAGCCAATAAAATCAGACACTCGCCGCCCCCTCTCAGTCCGCGAAAATCCCCCGACAGGATGCAGGATCTGAAAGGAGGATCTTTGAAGCCACAAGAGCCACCTTGACTCGAATCTGATGCTCTTGAACTTGAACTTTTGGCTTGAACACCTCGGCCACCTCGAGTTGGCCAACTTGAGTGGATTTTTGTGGAGAGAAGAAGGCTTTTGTAATTATAATAAACTATAATAAAGTAGAGAAAACAAAATAAATAATTAAATCATAATTATAAACTTCAATTGTTTTAAAAATGGGTATTTCTACAGAAATATGTACATTAAATTTGTATATCTTTTCTATATATGATCCAATAGCCCTCCTTATGATAACCTTCTATGGTAGCGCTAGTGCGTATACTTAATATTTATAGAAAAAAGGCCGAAGGACTTAGTATCCAGCTCCTTTTTAACATTATCTTTGGTATTTAATACTAGATTTAATATGTTAAAATAAAATAAAGAAAATAAATAATATTTATTTCAAGCTCATTATTTTATTTTCCTTTATTTTATATTAATAAATATATGTTTTCTAATATATTACAAGTACTTACTTATATACTTTTGTAATTATTTAAACTCTAGAAATTTAAAAGGTCCTGTGGAAGATCTATTGAAAAGTTGTAAGAAATATAACTGTAATTATTTGAAAATTCTAAAAATTTTTTAATGGAAGTTGATATGGAGTAAGGAGTAAAAATTCCATTAAATAATGGAGTAAATCTTGAAGTTTTGGAAGGTTTAACATATCATCAGTTTCTTTAAACAAGATAAACTTTTCAAAATATGAAAGGCTTTCCTAGAATATATTAGTTTTTAGGACAGTTAATTAGTAATATATGCAATTATAGTAATAAAGTAGTTAGTAATATATGTAAGTAAAACTTAAAAATCTTAAAAAATATCCTATTTAAAGCCTTTATTAAAATATAGCTCATTAAAATAGAAAAAAGGAATCTTCAACTTTAAAGTTTATGGTATATTAAAGCCAGTTTGCGCCTGTACCAGTTTTAGTATTTTTATAGCGAAATACTAGAATGTAATAAAATGCTGGATGGATGGATGGAAAATGCTTTGCCGCAATTGCCGCCCCAATATAATACCCCCATTCTTCTACCCACCGCCACTCGCCGCCAGCTCGTAAAAAGAAGCGCAGACAGGCGCTGGGGAAGAGATGAGATTCTGGTGGCCTGGCAGGTGGGCCAGGTGCATAAATCACTTGGCCAAGTTTAGTTTTTGGGCTGGGAAGCTCGGTATCGCTATACCCGCCGATAGACCACTATTATTCCGCGATTTCCAGCTCTCACAGCCGCCCCTCCCTCCTTATCTCGAATCGCACCTCATAACGGTTAAACAGTTTTAACCTTTTTTCCTTAACGTCGTTGACAACTAATCAAGATGGGAACAAAAGTTGATCAAAACCGATTTAAGCAATAAACAAAAATTTCCGTTTCCTTAGCCGCCAAAATACCAAAAGAATAAAAAAAATCTGGCAAGATCGGAATTGGCAAGAGAACTACATCTTGAAATGAAAAAGAACATCTTGAATCTTAAAAAAAAAAAAAAAAAAAATTCACAGACTGTGGTGCAACGGTTTTCATGCCGTCTTTTCTCCTCATTTGTTGTTAGAGAGGCTGCTGCTGTTGGCTCCATCTCTTTTTGGCCCCCATCTAGCCATCTCTTTTTTTTCTCTCTGCCAACAACAACAACAACAACTGGGCGCATTTAAACGGTAAACATCATGAATGCATTTGGAAAGTGGTTGTGTTGTGGTTCGTGGTGTTTGCATTTTGCATTTCTTCGCATTCTTTTCTGTTTATGTGGCTCTGTAGCTGTAGCTCTGTAGTCTCGCACAATTGTGCCAACAACAAGCTGCGGTGAAATGGGAAGAGCCCGACCATCCAGCCATCCAGCCAGCCAGCCAGCCAGCGACAGAAGAATCAGCAGAAGAATCAGCACCAGAAGCAGAACAACAGCAACGGTAATACCCACCGAAGACGGCGTTTTCATTTCTGAGAATTGATTGGCCGTCGCGCCTGCATACTCCACACGCCACTGCCACTGCCCCCAGCCCCCACCCCCCATCCCCGGCCACTGCCACTACCTCTGCCACATCGGGTTTTATATTTAATACCCTCTATTCCAGCTCACCGAGGTAGACTCTTTTCCAAGACAATTACATACATATGTACATAGTCGATTAAAAGATATGGAGAAGAAATCTCAGAGAAGAATTCATATAAGCGATTTTTATAAGTGTTTTAAACTAAAACTATATTTATATATCTTTATTATGATTTTTTTCAAAAACCATGGGGTTGGTTACCCTTTTATAAAAATCTTCTATAAATTGCCTATAATTTCTGATATCCAGATTTTGATTTGGAATTGAAGTACTTGAAGATCTAAGAATGGGAAGGTATAAGCTTTCAAGTTCTTTCAAGTATTAGTTAAATTAAAACAATTACTAGGAAGGTTTTTAATCAAAATTTTTGGTAAGCTTTTCAAACACCTTTTTATTCATATTTTATCCATTTCTTAACTGATTTCAAAACAGAATACCATTTATGAAATGGGGCTTCAATATCCTTCAATCTACATTAAAGGATTGATAAAATAAAACAAAAAAAATTTCGCGCCAATTTTTATCAAAAATCTTGATGGTACCCCTTTGAAAAATTTGGAAAAATGGGTCAAATTTTCAAAAAATCAAAAATGGCCAAATTTTAATTAAAATGGATAGTACTTTAAGATCTAAGATTGGGAAGGTATAACATTTGTCGATCGGTCAAGTAATAATCGAGTTATGGCTATTTTCCTAAAAATATTAGACTCTCAGGGCGTATACTTGATGTGAATTTTTAAAATATTACGCATACGCCCCATGACCTATTTTTAGGTGTTTGATGGAAATATGTATGTTTTTGTGAGTGATTCCACTTACTGGATCTTAAAATCCTATGCTAGTTTCTTAAATTTAAGATTTCTTTAACTTCTTGTATATTTTATAAAACTTTTTAATATATACTCAAGTGCTCTATGAAAACCTGGACCTGTGATATTTCCCAAAAGAGACTCCCAACTTTTGGGTCTTAATACCTATTATACGAACAGAACCCACTAGCTTGCCCCTCTTTGGATATAATTTTTCCCCAAAATGTAAGATATTCTCATTACCGGGTATGTTGAATTTTGGGAAACCCAACTGGGAGACTTACTTCTTCGTTATTTTTGTGATTTGTTGCATTCTTTTGGATTCTTTACCGCTGCAGCACCTGTTGCTGCCTCTGTTGCAGTTGCAGTTTGTTTTTTTTGCTGGCGAGGCAATTGGGACTGTGATTAAGTAACGTTTGACTTTGCGGGCGTCGTCCTGATCGAATCGCATCCTCGGCCTCTCACTCGCTTCATTAGCTCAACATGGATGCCAGGGCAACTTTGTTGCTAAAAACTGAGATTCTTCTTAACTGATTCTTCTTCTCCGATTCTCCAATTCTCAGTTGTCGGTTCTCGGTTCTTCGTTCTCTGTTCTCATTCTCATTCCCATTCCGATTCCACGCATGCACAGTCCACTTTTTGAATTTGGCATCATCAGTGGCTGTTTGTGTGAGTTGAGAAGAGCTCTTGGCTCTTCTTGGCTTTAAAAGCCATCGCATCGCCGTCACCTGTTTCCTAGACAGCCATTGCCATCGGCACACTTTAGTCGCCCCTCCACTCCACCCTCCTACTCTCCCTAACTCACCTTACACCTTGCCATACACCCTGCCCCTCTACGAACGCTTATACCGCTCTGGCTGTCATCATTGCAATTCTTCAAAGCACTTGCTGCTATTTTAGTTACACTGAAAAAAATTATCCATAAATTCTTCATATTCTAACATTAAAAATATGAATGGTAAAAGATTTTTAATTAATAATTATTTATTATAATCATACCATAAGGTAGTCTTGTTAACAAATGATATCCTTTAATAAAATGTTGACTAACAAGTGTGTTGTTAACCCTTAAACGGTGACTAGGGTTTAATTTCTCCTTCTATAAGAAAAGCACACAATTTTCTCTATAATTGTTCTATAAATGTTTCTTTAATTAAGTTTTTAATTAATTTAAGTTATTAATTAACAAGAGTATTCGCTGCTTTTGTTTTAGTTAATAATTTCATATATTTATCAATTTTTAGTAGGGGCTATCTGTATATGTAAAAATTCTTTATTTTTTTTAGTGTTTTCTATATGTGCCTTAGAAGTATTCCCCTTTTATCCACCATACTTCCCCAACTAAGTAGAGCTACTACTTAACTCCTTTTCCCATTTCCGTAGCCACCAGCCTTCCAGGCCTTCAGCCAGGTGGTGCTGCTCCAGTTGGGCGTGTCTGTGCCCCGATTGTCTGGCTGGCCTTTGGATTCATTTAGTTTCTTGGCACATTGTCTGGAAGTACCTGGTCGTATGTAAATGTGGATACTTCCCACCTGTCGTCTCCCTGACCCAGAACCAAATGAAGCCGCTGGAGCTGTGATGTAGCTCTGATGGGGCTCTGATGAAGCTGTCTCCGGGCTCATAGAGACCACCATTGTCATCGCCAGCATCATTACCCAGCATCGCTAGTGTTGTTGCTATTATTTCTTTAGATATACATATGTTGTTTTATTCTCTATTTTTTTTTCTATTTTTTATTGTTGTCGAGCTAATGTCGATGCTAATTTGCGGCCATTATGGGTTAGTGGGTCGGTTGGTGGGCCCATCAACCGGATGGATAAGCACATACAGGTAGGTAGACTCTACACTGTATACTGTACTCTCTGTCAGGTGTCAGCTCGTGCTGTCCATTGGCAGTCATTTGTCACCTGAAACTGAGAGCCGGCGACCCCGAATCAAGTCCAGCATACTAATGCCATCTTCTGGGCTTCATTTGTGGCAGATTAACACTGGGAGTGTTGCCAGCTACGCTGTGGCATCCACTAGATGAGGTGACTGGTGGACTATTTAAAAAATCATTTATTACTTACCTTAACTACAACAAGACTATTCTCTAAATTTCTTTAAAATACCACTATCATCTTCATTATTCAAAAATATCTTAAATGTATTCCTTTTGAAAAACAAGTCAAATAGTAAGATATACTTCCATTTTATTTATACTTTTCTCAAATTACTTATAACTTTTATATGTATCTCTCATATATGTAGCACTTTCCAAGATCTTTCAAGTCTTAAAAATTTTACTTTTCGATTCCCATCGTAACACATAATCATTCATTGTGCAGTCTTATTAATTTTATTGCCTTTTATTTTTACTTTCTCCTTTCTATAGGAACTTGGCGAAAACACCTCTTATTATGCAAATTGTTTTCTCAGTGTAAGCTTCTTTTTTTTTAATTTTTATAGTTATTATAGTTTAGTCTTTATAGTTTTTAAATGAAGCTTTAAGGCCTATTTTAGCTTATAACTTTCAAACAACTTCTAAGAGGAAAAGGAAAATTAGGTTCCAATGCTATAAAATATATCTTTAGCTGAGTTTTTAAATTTAAATATTTGCAATATAATTTTAACTAACTAATAAGTTAGTACCGGGTATTATTAATTATTTTGATATTTTTTTGTTTTACATTTTATTATATATCTTTTCTTATGATAACATGTATACATGTCCCTATATGGATATCTACTCTGAGATACATTTGTATTTTTATCTATTTACTGGTACTTGTTATATTCCTTTTACTCTTATTTTTTAAATGTAAATTTAAATTCATTTTTTAGATCTATAATAACCAAATTCCTAATAACCTTATCTATTTTTATCTCAAAGCTCATACAAACAACTGAATAAATATAAAACATAGGTATTGCCCACTAATTCTATCCAGTAGTCTCCCTAAGAACCATAACGCTCAATCTATAAGTCCAAAGCTGTAACCTATTTTTTAGATAAATATAAATATATTTTAAATATATATAATTTTATAAAGAATACTGTATTTAAGTGTAAAAAGACCTGAGTTATTCAAATAGGTACACCCGCAAAACTCTACAAGTACCGCGCATTATCTTTAAAGCCATTCCTGTAACCCAATCTTTTGATACTATATTTTAAAGATCTATAATAAATTCATTTTCTTATAATATTTCTGTAATTAGGTCTCTAAAGAACCAAATTATTAGAACAATGTACTATAACCTTAAACCCTACAAGTACCGGGTATGGATAAATATTCAAGAATCTATGTAGCTTCGAGGTGGATAGGGTGGGTGGATAGCAACCGTCTTAATTGTCACTCGTCTTTGAGAAGAAATGCTTTTAAATGGAAATTTAGCGACCTGGCCGATGTGGGATGAGGAGGCGAACTAAACTGGACCGGACAGCCCCCACAGAAGGCTCATTTTCAGATGTGGCATGGCAATTGGCAATGCCAATGCCGTTGGCTAATGGAACGGGGCGTTGGGACCGAGAACACAGAGATGGAGACCCAGACTGAGACTGAGATGGAGTCTCTGTGAAGCTTCAAGAAGACGAGACTGGGGACTGGCAGTTGTTAGGCGGTTATCTGGCCAATGCCATATAAGTCGAGAAATGCGCAGTTAAGCAATCAATGGCCACCGATCCACCAAAGATCCACCAGAGAAGCCTCTTCTGGGCCCAAAAGATTGTGGCAGAGGGAATCGCAATTGGCCTCGCACTTGGACTACGGGTTTTCAGTTTTTTTTTATTATTTTTTGGTTTGGATGCGACTGTGATTGTGGAATCCCAGTGTGGCAACGTGTGTGTTATGATTGGAAATGGCTGGTTTGCTTGGCTGGCTTACCTGGCTTGCGATCTTACCTGGCTAGCCAGGCTAACTTGCTTACCTGCTTAGTTGCTTACCGGATCGGTGGGTTGGTTGGTGTTTGGAATTGGAATTGGAGTTGGAGTTGGAGCCAGACTAGAGCTACAGCCAGAGGCAGTGCTAGAGCTAGAGCTAGAGCTAGAGCTGGAGCTGGAGTTGGAGCTGGAGGTGCCGCTGTAGACTGTGACCAGCCGGCGGAGCAAATACCGTTTTGCTGAATAAATACAACAAAACAAACGCACAAAAACTCAGACAAACAAGTGGGTTTGGATGGCTTTTCAAAAGCAATAGGCGAATGGTAAATGCCCTATAATATTTATATGCAACTTGGCATCTTGTGAGGTTAATAATTAAAAGCTCTTATAAAGAAGGTATTTTATATTTTAACTCATAGTAGATTACTATTTAATTATACTTATATGGTAACACACCCTACAATATTTTTTTAGAAGCCTATTGCCTTTTTAGACTTGTTAGACCTTTTTTATTAGAAGCCTATTGCCTTTTTAGACCTTTTTTTAAAACAATTGTATAAAATATAGTATTCATATTAAAATTATCTTTTTTTTCTATCAAATACTTAGTTTTTTTCCATGATATACCATACATTGTCTATAGTAACCTTAGTCCCTTTTAAAACTTTAGAACTCTATAAGGTTTTTTTTAGTAAAATTATAAAATAAATTATATTATTATTAAATTCGTAGTCGAACACCATACTTACCCTATAATACTATATTTTTCAATAATTTCTATAACCTATCTTTAACAATTTTCTGTACCTCCCTAAAGGATCACAAACCCTATATACCCTCTCACTCCCGGAATACCCTTTCCTGGCTGAGTAGCAGTTGTAGTTGTAGTTGGTGATGCGACGGCACTTGGAATGCGTTTAGTCTGCCCCATGGACTGCCCCTCCTCTTTGGTCTCCCCTCCAGCTTGCCTCTCCCCTCGTCCAGTAACGAATTCCAGGAATGTTAATGCCGCTAATGCTTCGGTTGCGGCCTCGTCTTTGGTGACAACATCCAGTCCAGAACGTGGCTGGCGAGGAATGGGCACAAACATTTACCTAATCCATTTCCCATTTCCAAGCCAGGCTGCTCCCCTTTCCCTCCTGGATTCTAGGATACACAAACTCTCTTGTTTTTTGTAGTATTTTATTTTACTTTAAATATGAATATAAATATTATGAAAATCTAAAAAAAAATAGTGTTTGGATTTAATTGAAAAGAAGCCTCTCTGCTCAGTCCCAGACTAATCCTACTTAGAAGTAATGGCGGGCTCCTTTTTGGACGGCGCCTTCTCCGGCAGGAAGTAGCCCATGATGAAGAGCAGAATCACCAGCCCGAGCATCGCCCAGAAGATTTCATCACAGCTGGCGAAGAGCAGGCGCCCGAGGATGTTGCTGCCCACCACCGCCCCGAGGCGACCCACCATCATGATGAAGCACATCCCCATGGCGTTGATGTGGGTCGGATAGAAGTCCATGGCGATGGTGCTGACGAGGCCGCCGCAGTTTCCGATGGCCATCACCATGGTCAAAGCGATCACCACCATGGCGAACTGCTCCAGGTAGTGCAGGCCCACCAGGCACACCATGGTGAGGATCATCCAGGCCACTGGTAAGGTCAAGGAATTAATAGACTTCCACTATATGATACTCTCAAAGTACTCACTCAATAGATTCTTCTTCCCCGTGTAGTCTATGATGTAGGCGAAGAGCAAGTAGATGAGCACAAAGGAGCTACCGATGATAATCATCACCTGGTAGGTGGAGGTATCCACTTCCAGGGAGCAGGTGGCAGTGCCATCCCCTGTTTCCGTCACATTGGCATTCGTATTCAGACCCTGCAGGACACTGCACAGGAGCGTATCCTCGCCACCTCGCGTGCCCAGCTCATCCAGGATGGTGGGGAACCACATAAAGATGCCCTGGGCCAGGAAGTAGATCAGGAACTGGGTGATGCAGATGTTGAGCGTGTGCGGCAGGCGGGAGCGGTAGAAGAGGGGCACTGTCTGGTGCCAGACGAGACGCACTGCATCGAGGAAGCCATGGACATCGCCCAGACTAGCGCCACCGCTCTCCAGGACTATTTCCCGCACCGGATACTCGCTCCCATCGCGACCCGTGTTCTGGGAAAAGATCGTACGCAGTGTCTCCAGGGATTCTTGAGGACGTCCCTGGACGAGCTGGTACTTGGGTGTCTCCGGCAGCGTTGAGATTCCCATCAGGGCAACCAGCGAGATGGAAACATTGGCCAGGAGCAGGACTCGCCAGGAGGAGAATCGCAGACCGAGGAAAACGGTCTCAATTCGAAGGGGAAGGATGCCGATTGCCATGGCTGGAAAAGCATCATATAATCAAAGTCCCAACTATCCTGATATCAGGACTCACCTGGAGCAAAGACCATGGCCAGGCAGAGGAAGCCAGAGAGCAAGGTCACGTGGCGCACTCGAGATCCCTGGCCGTGGAACTCGCCGCACAAACTGAAGACGCACGCCTGCCCGCCGGACATGAAGAATCCGGTCAGGAATCGGAACACAATCAGCATCCAAATGTTCACCGAGAATCCGGACACGATGGAGCAGACGGAGGCCAGGGACAGGGCATACTTAAGGGTGGTGGCTCGACCCCAGGTATCCGCCAGGAAGCCCATGGCATGGGAGCTGAGAACCACCCCCAGGAACCCCGCAGAGGCCAAGATGCCCTGCTCGCTGAGGGTCGGCTGGAGGTCACACTTCATCTGGTTCATGATCAGACTGACGCCCATGATCTCCACCATGACGGCCATGAAGCAGAGTCCGCAGATGAGGAGCAGCTTGTAGTGGAAGCGGCCCACGCCGGTCAGCGTGATGGCCTCCTCGAAGCTGTGGGGTCGGGGCTTCTCTGAGGGTTTCTCCGGGGACTTTTCGATGGCTATAGGGTTGGGAAAGAAATATGTCAGATTAGAGAAAGTTAGAACAAGATTTGAATAATAGGTACATTTGAAAAAAAGGGGATTATCATTGCTAGGTATATGGATAAGAAATATTTTTCATTCAAATCTTTTACAGTGTGGGTCTTACTATTATATCACATTTATTATATCTCTTTAAGTAGGTTATAGAATACATTTAATTATATATCTATTTTTTTCCACTTTTTTTCAAGTGCTCCCATCAAAAAGGATCCATCAATCACTGTCATTTGTTAGAAACCCCTCACTGGCTGGCATAATTCCAGTTCCCTATAAGTAGAACCCATGGCACCCAAATCCCGCTTAGTTCCTATTTGGTGATGGCTTCCGCCGCCTCTGATTCGGCGGAGAAATCAGAGGATCAGGGAGACGACGTCCGCCTGCCCAAGGAGCAGCCTCCGTCACCCTTCTTTGAGACGAAGACCTTTCGCCTGATCTCGATATTTTTGTATCTTGGCGGGATTAGCAGTCTGGGCATGGTGCTGGCCCTGTACTATCTGCTCTTCTTCGACTCCAGCATGCCGGACATCCACCTCAAGTTTCCAGTCTCGATTGGGGGTCATCCGGTGCAGAAAGTGCACGAGTACCAGTGACGAATGCCTCGAGAATGGGGAGGAGGTTTTTTCGCCCACAATGCCCGGAAACTGGAGGAGGAAAAGGTGGGCACTAATTGGATTTGGTCAAGCCAACCAAAAGGTGGGTAAACAAAGTCATTCTATGGCCACTCGACTAGTGGATGACCTGAGAATATAAGTAGATACATACCGAAATATAGCAAGATCTGAAGCTGATATATCTTTCAGTTGTGTTATCCTTTCCCTGTAATATCCTCCATTAATACCCATTACCCTCCAGTATTCATCCACCCATCTGGAGACATAGTCTAAGAGGTGGATCGGGGTCTGATGGGTGGTGGGTCTTTTAGAAACCGGGTCAAGTGGCCGCTAAAGAGCCCCCAGCACGTGATGCGTTGCTCTGGCGAATCTTATTAGTCGCTGGCCCCCAAGACGGTGGTGGTCCGAGACCCCTTCTCGAAAACCCCTTCTCTGTCCAAGCCCTCCGATGGAAGAAACCGCAAAAGCAGTCAAGCGGATAGCAACAACAAAAAAAAACACAAAAGAACAAAGCTGGCCAGAACCAAAGAACCAAAAGAAAGAGCCAGAAAAAGAACATCGACTACTAGACTATTAGACACTAGAGACTAGAGACCCGAAGACCCGAAAAGACAAAGAACGGATCCCTGTTAGTCGGAGCACTCGCTCAATTGTGTTCAGTTCGTCCATTGAGACAGAGACCCTTCGGTTCACCTGCTTTTTTTTGTTTGGGTTTTGTGATCGAAATCGAAGTGATTCCTCCAATATGAGTGGCCCGGGTCCAAGTGGGGGTGCCTCATCAAATATGATGTCCAGCCTGGCCGCTGTCGTCAAGGAGGCCAAGGATGAGGAGATCCAGATGCCCAAGTCGGACGACTTCTTTGAGTCGAAGACCTTCCGCCTCCTCACCCTGATGCTCTACATGGGCGGGGTAAGCGGCATGGGTCTCACCCTGGCCGTCTACTATCTGTTTATTTGGGACTCGCGGATGCCGCCACTGCCCGTCTTCAAGCACACCCATCCCATCGGCTAGGATCCTAACCACGGCGGATAGGAGTCCTCCTTCCATCCCAATCACTCACTCACTAACTCACTCACTCACCCCGTGCCAGTGACCAGATTTGGGTAAGTGGCCGATGGTAACTAATCTGGCTTTCAGTTTTCCATTCAAACGAGAGCTCAATGGCTAAGCTGATGGATTTGGCCTTTTTTTTACGTTTTTAGAGGTTGATTTCTCAATTCTTTATAAGTATTAGGCTATGCACTTCAAGTACTGGGTATCATATACAAAAATATCTTTTTTTTTTTAATATCTTAACTAATGCAGCATTTTTATAGATTTTTTTTTGGTGGATTAGTATTTTTCTTTTTTTTGTGTTTTGTTACATTATTCCATTTATGCCCTTCAAAATAGGTAGTACCGGGTATCATATAAAAACAATTTTTGTTTTTAGAACCTCTTATGCCTAGCTATACCAAATTATCCTAATCTAATCTAATCTTAATCCCAACATAATTTTAATATATGTATTTTAAGAACTTTTCGTTAGGGAATAGATTTTGAAAGGTTTTAGGCGTATTACTCTATCGATGGCCTCTAATATAGGCAATAAAATTAAAAAAAGCAATAAAAATTGGGGTTAGTACTTAACAATGCTCCCTAAAAGATGTAAAAATATTCCTAAGCCTAGTTACCGGGTATCATATAATAAATATGTTTCTTTTTAGAAGCTCTCACATCCAATATATCTCGCTTTCTTTCTTTCCGCTGTGGCTATAGCCCCCTAAAATGTGTTAGGCCATGTACCGGGTATCCTAAAATAAAATTTTCATTATTTTTAGGAGCTCTTACACCTAATTCTTTTATTTTAATATAGTTTTTTGTCAGGCAATGGTTAAAAAGTACTTAATAGTAGGAAAGTCTAATAGAAAGGGATTGCCTTATATCTTAGGAATTACCTTATACTATCACATCACGGCCCTCCAAAATAAGCAACAACATTTTTAAAACTAGTACCGGGTATTAGGTACAAGGTACTATAGTAAATATACAAGTATATATTTTTTACTTGTATATATACTTGTATATTAACTATAGTACCTGGTACTTGTATTACTACATTTCAAGTCACTAAACCCTAGCTGCTTTAACTTCTCACTTTCTGTATTCTCAACTGAAAAAAAAAGCCATTTGTGGCAACATTACTGCCACTGGGGCAGTGTTAATTAGCCACCGTGGTCGATATCAAAAGTTGACAGCCATGCACAAAACTAATCCGCTTTGCTACGTGCCCCCAAATCGAGGCAGAGCCGGAACCCCCAACGGATGGCGTCATTTGGGGCTGATTTTGATTTAATCGTCGATTGTGTCGACATCAAAATCAGTATTCGAATCGCTGTCCGGCAATCGCAATGTCCGGCCCACCGGAATCCGGGTCCAGAACGGGCAACGCCACCAGTGTGGCTAACCTGGCCAAGATCGTCAACATAATCGAGTCGAACGTGCGGGCCGAGGAGGAGGCGGACACCGCCAAGACATCCTCCAGCAGCAGCAGTAGCAGCGTCCGCCTGGCCAGCAGCAGTGCCCCCCGACGTAGTGGCGTTTCGGCATCCTATGTGCCCAAAACGCCCCAGCTGGAGGAGATTATATTCGCGGAACCAACCTGCACGGAGCGATTTGCTCGCTACTTTGTCATTGTCATCTACCTGTGCGGGCTCTGCTGTCTGGGATTCTTCCTCTCTATCTATCACATCTTCTTCTGGGACTCCAGAATGCCGCCCGTCTTCAAAGGCCAAAAGAAGGCCCCCGTATTTGGTTAACAAACGAGGTCCCTACAGAAGCCTTTTTCTTTTTGGTAGGTTTCGATTTAAAATTCGATTCGATTTCAATTAAGTATACGCAGTGTTGTCCCAAACAAGTCATAATATGTTTTAATTAACTTATTCTACTTGTGTAGAGTGTCCTTTTTCTTGGCCATAATTAAAATTGAAAAGCTAAATGACTAAAAAGCTGAAAAGCCTTTCAAACGAAATGAAAACACATTCAATAGGGCAATGCGGCAACGGGGCGTATGCGTAATATTCAATAAATATATTTCCAATAAATACATTCTCTCGTTATTTATTCAAAAAGCAATTTGCCAGAATGTAATCAGCATTTAATTAATTTGCCGCCTCTTCAATCAACACAATTTGAAATAATTGCATTTAAATCATACATATAATCACATCATGTGTGTGTCCTTTTTTGCTCCAAAAATGAGGTCCCTATTCTGGAAAAGGGACAAAACTTTATAATGGGATTAGCCGAACCGAAACCAAAGTAATATGTCGTATTTTTGGTCCACAAATTGCATTAGTTTTTGGTTCTTCGTCCTTTTCTCCAAAAAAAAAAGAAAGTGGAGGCTCAAAAGTTTTCTCTTAACTAAAGTTTAAGTTTAATTATGTGTATCCAATTCAGAGCCTCGGCTCTGCTCTGCTCTGCTCCGTATCATGTGTGCTTGTATGCGGAAAATCCCCTCTTATAGGTTTACCATATTATCCTGGCTACCCCAGCTACCCACAACCCCCCCTGGCCTGGTAGTAGTCCTGGCAGTTCCGGCCTGCTTAATCAGTTTTGTCTGCACATAAGTAAGCAGGTAGATAAACCATCCTTAAACTTGGCAAGGCAGAAAGGACGAGGGCGGTGCATTCCTCCGGCGGAAGGACGAAATGCAATGGCCAGGCTGGGACCAAAAAAAAAAAAAAAAACACATTTTCGAGGCCAGCATGAGAAATGGGTTATGGGTTATACTACATATAGTATATAGGGAGGTGAATACGAATAAGAGTGTGTGCTCCACCTAGTCACGTGGCCCGAACGAAGGAAACTCCTTGAGGGTAACTTTGCTGCCACAATGCTGCCGGAAAGGTGCACATACATACATACAGTGGTGTGTGTGTGTGTGGGGCAGATAGCTTTGTGGGTGTGGCCTACATCTTGGCCCACATGATGAATATGTATTTAAGTGCATTTAAAGTAGAGCAACGCAAATTCAAACCTCCCCAAGGAATACATTTTAGGGCTTTGGTTTAATTTATTTATAAAAATAGATATTATTTGGTTTTAAAATTGAAAGTTTTGGCTTTAAATCTCTTACATTTTAAAGAGTATAGAAGTAGAATTAGTAGAATTTTAAATAGAAATTTTAATTATGGTTCCTTTTAGTTTATGCTTCATTAAATAAATCTAATTTTTGCTTTAAAAGTATATTTTTAATTAAATAATAAGGTCCTATTCCTATTATAGCCATTTATATAAAAGTGACAAAATATATAGCATACTTTTTGGCATGCCACTTGATAAAATAGCTTTCTCAGTTGTTTTTCTCTAAAATTTAAATCGAAATATTTAATTTACATTAATAATAAATTTAAATATTTGAGTTTAAATTGAAATATTAAATTTTGACTCCAATTTATCCAAATATGAATATTAAAGTTTAATTATATCTATTTTAATGCGATTATATACACTAGCTACTTTCGATTTTTTTCATTATTTTGGGAAATGGAAAATAAAATTATATAAATAGAACCTTTATAAATAGAGCATTATACACTTTTCCATAAAGCAACATCTTAAAGTTAAGATATAAGTATGTTTTAGCGTATTATTGCTTTATTAATTTATTAAAAAGTTAAATTTAAATAAAGTTTTGAAAAAAGGTTAAAAAAGAGTTCCCCTTTCTATTTAATTAAATTTTTGATTTAACTTTGAACTAGTAGAGTAACTTAGAAATAGCTTATAGAATAATAGAAAAATAGAATATCCTTAAAACTATTTAAATAATTTTTTATCGACATCCCATATCCATTTAAATAATATCTCATCTGCCAATATTTAAACAACTTGGGGACTCCCCAAGTTCCCGTTAGCAGAAGACCTCCTGTAATTGAATGCGTGTGTTTGTAGCTATCTCTTTTTAACTGTTAGGGTGCCTGTCTGTGTCTATGTGTGTGTGTGTGTGTGCAGTTCTTATACAACAAAATCAATGGCCAACATTGCAATCGTTCGGTGTGCCAGTGCAGGCTGTCTCTCTCGTTTGCTCCCCTCTAAAGCCTGAATAGCGCTCGCCCTGTCACTCTCGGCGTGTCCTAGTGACCCAGTTGCAGTTTGTTAACCCCCCGATTTCAGCCGAGAGCCAAGGCAACGGAAAACGAAGGTATGCAATTGTGGGCGCCCAGGTGGCAGGTGGCAGGTTGTCAGAAGCAGAGGGTAGAGGACAGAGAGGCGGCAGCAAGCGGCAGCGAAAGTTGAAAAGGTGAGCGACGTCCTTCGCGGCTCCGGCGAAGGTTGCTGTCAAAGACAGAGCGAACCCCTTCTGGCAAGGCCCTCCCCCCCCAAGAAATCGCCCACATACATACATATATTTAATATTTAAAATAGCCAAAAGCAGAGTTGATTGATTGGCGGCATCGGTTTGCAAAATAATTCACAAAAAGAAATGAAATCAAGCGAGTATTTTGATTTCCGCATATATGAGTCAGGAGGCAGTAGGCGGGAGGCGGGAGGCGAAAGGCGTGGCGGTACTGCACTTGACACACAAAGAGCCAACGTGCAACGTGCCGACGTGCGGTTTGTTTTTGTTTCTGTTCTTACAGATTTTCTTTTGTGTACTTTTTGGCTTCGAAAATGCCAGAATGGCGTGTGGCATAAACATCGAAAGCCAAAAACACAAAGCCCACGCCGCTGCCGAAAATTCAAATGAGGGGGTGGGAAATGGGAGGGGAGAAAGGTGCATTTTATGAATGAAATTAAAAACGAAGATCACCAATAAGCTTTGGGGAGGAGAGAACATAAAACAACAACAACAACAACAGGTCAGAGAGACGAGCCGAAACGAAGTTTCTAGGAAAGAGAGCAAGAAACGAGTGACAAACCGAACATGATAACTCCTGAACGCTGGCATCGCTGATGCACTCTCATCCCAATTACCGTTACTCGTTCGTTCGTTCGTTGGTTCGTTCGCCATTCGCAACCGGTAAGGATTGGGAGCTTCCGAAAGCGAAGGAAAAATCAGCTGTTGTCCTCTCCATCTCCATATCTCTCGCTCTCTCTCTCTCGAGGAAGAAGCATTTTGGGATACTTTGCAGTACTTTCACCAGACTTTCTCAATTCATTTCGCTTGCACACGTCCGACACGTCGGTTGGCAGAACAGAATTTTTAGCGCGCCCTTTTTTTTTTGTATTTTTAAGCACGCAAAGCGACGTATAAAACGAACAAATCTAGAAACTAATAAAAAAAAACAAGCGATAATAACTTTTGCATTTAAACAACAATTAGACTATAAAAAGGCCACTGCCAATACAAAAAAAAAGAAGGAAGCATATCAGTTAGAATCGAGGGCAACAATCAAAATCAAAATCAAATAAAACAAAAATTAAGGAAACAAAATCAAAATGAACTCGAAAGTGAACTCGCTGGAGGAGAAAGTGAAACTGCCGCCCACGGAGACAATAAGCCGCTGCTACCAGCCGCAGCAGAGCAATCGCAAGGTCATCCGCATCCTGACCGTCGCCGTCTACGTCCTTTGCGTCTCACTGGCGGCCATCATGCTCTCACTGTACTACATCTTCATCTGGGACCCCACCATCCGTCCCTTTGTCACCAAGGCCACGCATTGCGGTAAGCCAGGAGCGCATCAGGATCACGGACTCTGGTCCTCCTTTTTTTTATTGTTTCCCATCATAGTTCCCACCATCCATCCGGTGGTGGGTCACTTCCCGGGTTAACTATTTTGGTGACCAAAAGCCCGTGACTAACTGTTCGGTCCGGTGACCAAAAACCAATCACTGGCCGGGTCATTTGTGGACTGCGGTCAATCTGGGACAAAAAGCTTGAATCTAGGCTACGCGAATTTTGGGTTAACGTGGCTAGGGTTGGGGGGAGGGGATGGGACTCGGCTTGGTATTGGTAATAGGTATTTGGGGCCTGAAGCACCCTTAACCCCCGATGGGGTTGGATGGTTCGCGATGACATTTTTTTGTTATGGGCCATAAAGAATTGGAGAGAATAGAGCCCCAAACAAAGCAAATAGGGCTTATTATATAGATTATTAGAGATAATTAAATAGGCTTTAATTTGTTATTTGATTTAAGCGAGCTATTCATATTTATATTGTTTATCAAAATTAAATTAAAATCTTATCAAAATTTTATCTATCTTTCAAGTACTATCTACAATCCACCATATCTTTTATCTCTTTTATAAAATTAAAAGACTTTAAAGACTATTAAGAATGATTTTATGTTCATTATGAGAATATCTTTTTAAATATTTCTTTATTTTAACTTTATTTATATTAAGAAAAATTAGAGATAGATTTTAAGGTTATGAGGATCTCAGAAGGTTGTCAATTCAACACGTTAATCGCTACTCGTTACTCGTTAAGTTAACTCGTTTCAGGTTAGGCTTGTACTTAATTTCAACTCTTCTCTTCTATTTAAAGGCATTTATTAAAATGTTTTTTAAAAAGTAATAAAAAAAGTATTTAACTGAGCGTTCAACTTTTTGCTACGTAATGTAATAAATAACTTAATAGTTTTCTTTGGTAATATTTCAACGTTTTACAACTTGAAATATGTTTTTAAACACAAAAAAACAATGAAATAAGAAAACTAAATAAAATGAGTGAAATATTTTTAATAGAAAACCTAAAATTTAAAAATATAACTCTAAAAATATATAAACTACATTTCTTTTTATTTAAATGGAAACTGTGTCTATTATAACGCTAATAACTTTATTTTAATGCCATTATTTTAATCAAAACTTCGAAAAGTTGTTGTTATTTTATTAAACAGTTTAAAAAACTATAAAACTTATCCAGTTTTTCTCTTTTTAGGCTTTTTCATTCAAAATCTAAAAAGCCAATATGCATTTTTAATAAAAGAGTTTCATGAAAAATGCAACTTCATGCAAAAGTTTCAACACAATAGGGTGGATGGAATTTCCGTGGCCTCACCAAAAAAATACGAAAAAAAAAAGACTTCAATTTAAAGCTTTCTGCTGACAAGATTTGTTCCGAATATAACTGAATTGGCAGGACTTTCTCAGGATGGGCGGGAAAAGCCGCCCACATTGTTCCACTACATAGACCACCTCCTACCACCACCTCCAACCACTCTCCTGCTTTTCTTTGCTTTTTGTTCAGTTTTTGTAAATCAACTCGAAATTAGGTCAATGGGGTGTCATGCACACAACTACACCGAACTATCCAACCATCCTGCCACCCCACACCCACACTCAGACCATACACCCACACCATACACTATACTCACACCGAGACAGAGTGCAGGGTGCTGTTTTCCTTGGTGGACTTTCCATTTGCAGTTTGCAGTTTGCAGTTCAATAAATCTAATTTAATGCAATTAAATACAGATTCTCGCTGCCTCGTGAAAGCAATATGGCACAAAGGCAAGCAAATTGCAATTTATTTACCATTTCACCAAGCATAAGGAATATGTTTTACAAGGAATATGTTTTATGTCTGAGGGGTTTTTTAAGGAGAGAGATTTCTTAAAAAGAGTGGGTAAAGTGGTCTCAATTATTTATGATTTATTAAACTTTAGTTAAAGGTATAAGGTGGTTCCATTTCCTATATGGAATACGTTGTTGTTAAAAAAAATGCTTATAAAATTGTGGTTTCTTTAAAGAAGGTTTTTTAACTTATAAAGCAAAGGATAAACCTTGTAGAATTTGATTAACTATTGTTTTCACGAATGGTTCTAAAATTTAAAAATAACAATATGTTTCCGTTTACTAAATACTTCAATATAACATATACTTCTATATAACTTTAATATACTTCAAAATACTTTAAAATACTTCAAAATACTTTAATATAACTTCAAGATAACATTATCTAAATATAATACTTAAATTTGCTCATTTTCAAAATCTAAAATATGTATTTATTCCTATATACTTACTTTCCTATATATTTTTTAGACCCTGGGGTTTGAATGGGGCAATTTCTTGCAAGCCCTTGACATTCTTATAGCCAAAGAACTATAAGATCCCCTACAAGACCCCTTTTGTTTAGATATTTTAATAGTAAAGTGTCTTTTATGGGATATCTATTTGAAAATGAAGTCTTATTAAATTTATAAGTATTAAGTAAATCAATATGAACTATATTTTTGTCAGAAAAGAAGACATTTTATTTACTAAGGGTAACTGTCCTTGTAGGTGACGAACCACAAGCCCCACGAAGTAGTGAGGAAGCTACTATAGATGTACAAAATATTCTTATTATATTTTAGAAAAACTAAAATACAAATAATAAAAAGAATTAAAATTCCGTGAAAAAATAGCTGTGTATTTCTAGTTTTGTATACTTGTATAGTAGTATTTCATATTTTTCGTCACCAAAATGGATTAAATATAAAAGATATTAAGGGCTTTTGTCACCGCTATTGTAGCTCTTCAAGAGGTCCTTTTTATTTATTTAAAGTAGAACCACGAGTTAGTAACACCTATTTCCAAAGCTTACGTATTTTTTATTATTAAATAACACTTTTGTAAACCTATTTTTAAAGTCCTGTTGTCGTATATCTATTATATTACGAGCTTATCCATAAACCACTGCTGTAAAGCCTAATCCAGATCTTAAAACGCTGAAACCCCCCTGTAATCTTTATAACCCTACCCACCCAATGATAATAAACTCACGCGTTGTTTTTCTCTTTCGTTGTTTTGCAGATAAAATTGTGATACCCGAGAAAATAGCCATCCGCCTCCTTAACTCATCGGAAGTGACCGCGGAGCAGTTCTACAAGCACATCCTCGACCAGTACCGCATCCTGAGCCACCTGCAACAGCAGCGCCAACAGCTCCTGCAACGCCAGCACCTACAGTTGCAGCAGCTGGAGGCGAGCAATCGCTTCCAGGAGATCTTCGCCACGGCCACGATCATCCAGGCCCATCCGCATCCGCATCCCCATCCCCATCCGCATCAACGGGATCCGCTGAAGCAGCCGCTCCTCGGGCCATCGGCCGGCGGGAACAGCAGCATCAGCAGTGACTTGGACGGTGATCCGGAAGGACATCTACCGCTATTGCCGCTGCTGGACACCTCGCCGCCGGCGGAGGGCATGACCGGAATGGGTCATTCGAAGCGCAAGACCCACCGTGGCCACTACAAACACCATCGGGTACGGGTGGGCGGTGGCGGCCCCAAGAAGCTATCCGTTGCTAACCCCAACTCTGTCGCGGGCTCCACATCCACGGCCAGCTCTACGCCGAGCACCACCAGCGGCGGAGAGGCATTCGTGGCGGCCACGGCAGCCACCTTGCCACACGGCTACATGGACACGCCCCTCAACCCGGCGGCTGGAACGATTGTTCAGCCGCCACAGCTGCAGCTCTACACCTCCATGCCCATTCCACTGATCCTGAGTCCCAGCGATGAGAAGCGCCCAGCGCACCACGCCCACGGTCATGCCCACGGCGAGAGGCGGGGCGGCGGGACACAGAACGGCGGACGGCGACGCACCACAACAGCTTCGGTCTCCGGCTACGAGGCCCAGACCTACCTCAACCCGTTCCTCACCGGCGAGCTGATCTTCGAGAAGTAAATGACCTCGGAGGAGGACTAAGGAATACACATCAGCCAGGAGGATGGGGTTCGGGATCGGAGGAGCACCTATTACATCCCGACTCACACACACACAGACACTGTTTAGAGGGGGCAGGACTACTCTTCAAGTGGGCTCAGAACTGGCAAACGAGGATACAGGTCATCTTTTGTCAGTACTGAGCTTTGGAACAGACTATATATATAGAGCCAGATTTGGCCGCATATAGAGGTTTAATAATGTTATGTACTGCAAAAACAAAAGGATAGTTGAAACCATAGCCAAAAGAAAGATATAGTTAATATACCAAATGATACATAATGACATACACCCACAGCCACACCCACACCCACACCCATACACGCATTATACGGGACCCACTTCAGTAGAAATGTCACTCGATAAGGATCCAGGATCACGGATCAGGCGGCTCACCTCACCAAGCTCAGCAGCAAACTCACCCCACCTAGAACACTGCTTCCAGGCAGCTAGCAAATGCTACACCAACTACAATAATTAGCCAAAACCGAAAAGTAGCCAGTAAACCAATTAAACCAATAACCAAAAATACTAAAAAAAAATACCAAATTAGCGAAAAGGAATACCATCCATGGAGTACCCCGCCAAGGTACCAAGGAGGCGGATTAAAGTCACTATAATCAGCATTTAAAACACATCTACACATCAGCATCTCACAAGGAACTGCTTCTATAAGAACTGTCAGATATCTGTTATACGATTATCATCCAAAAAAGATAAACATTTCTCGAGTTATGTTACGGTATTATATAGAGGGGCCTATATAACCCACATATAACCGATGTCTGACGTGACTTTTTCTCGGTCTATTCACATACTTGAAAACTAATTGAAAAACAGAGCTACACTAAGAGAAAAATGGGCAAAATATACAATATAGAGGAATATATGTATTAGAGGAAAGGTTGAGAGAAAGGGAAGGGTAAGGGAAACTGCATCTGCATTCAAGGACACGAGAATTGAGAATTCATCAATAATAACTAAAGAATACCATATAGAATTGAATCTGTAACTGATGGGCATATACCGCATATATATATCTTATATACCGCATGTATATCTTATATATGTATACCAAAAAAAAAAAAGTCATTTTGGCAATAATAAAGCATAGCAAACAAAAAACAAAATAGTTGCCAAGTTTTATATTATTTTTCTTCGGATCTTTGTAGATTCTATGCACTTTTTACAAATAATATCCTTTAATCTCTCTCCAGTCTTCCACACTCACCGAACTCTCGATCGCAATCGATCACATAGGCGGGATTATCCATGATCCTCAGGTCCTGGTCCTGGTAGGTAACGTCCGGAGTGGCTGATGTTGTGATTTGGAGCACCGTTCACGGCCAACTGTCGAGGCCCGTGACAGAGAGTTCTTAAAAGTACGTCCGGGTGTCTAACAGCGGATACGTGCTTCAAAGTCCGATCTGTAAAGCTCTCTCTCTCTCTCTGTCTCTTATATTGAGAGGTACTCTGGTATAAGCCATAAAATCCATACCACTGCGGAGATATCCAAGTTGTAAATCTTAAATAACCAGCACTAGTAGAAGAACCATCTCCATCTCCAGTGAAAGATTCTTGAATCTGCAAGTCAGTATCGTGAGCAATCGTGCAAAAGGCGGCGATAAGAAAGTGTAGCCCCCCAAAAAACTCTTCTTAAGATATCTTAAGAATATTAATAACATTAAATCCACCTTGGTTTATAATTACCACCCGGAGAGCGAATAAATAAACAGCCATTAAGGTATTTAAAAGTAATGAAGTTAATTTATTAATATTCTCTTGTAAATACTCATTTTGTATACACATTTATATAGTAGGTAATTTGTAACATTTTTAATTTACAATTATGATCATCGGATATCGCGATAGGATCTATATTTTTTCAGACTCACACACTGGGGGAAATATAGTATCTACCATACATTACATATACATATATATTTTACAAATTCTTATTAAAAGCTGACCAATTTCATGAGAGGGCGATACAGAGATTAAAAACTAATGTCATTTGATAGGTGATTAATATCTAATTGTAAGTATGATAGTAACTCTTTATAATTCAGTCCATAGAAAACATAAACTCGATCAACAATCACTACATTTATTTCAACATTAATTCGATTGATGACTTCTTCTATATAATACACCGATTTATATTCGTTTCACCGAGTCTGGGCGATCTGGAGACTTCAATCCCAATAGATCCAGCCATAAGTTTCCATAAGAGAGAGCGCTCTATTATGGCCAAGTCACTCCCAGCGTTCGTCGCCCATAAAGATAATCGTGATGATTCCTTAAGACGCGACAGGTTGATCCCGTACTGTAAACGCACTCGTAAATGGATCAACCCACCCAACGGGCAACACACACACACACACACAACGCAACGCCTATTGGCTGTAAAACATGAATGCGACATGATGCGACGAGTTTCTTGAAAATTTCAGCCTGAAACCGAGAGACTCGCGTCCGTTCAGAGAACAGGATGGGGGGGCGGGGGGCTTTGTGGTTCGTTTCTAAATGGTGACATTTATTGCATAATCTTATACCTTAGCCTGGGGGTTCACTGGAGCTGAAAGACTTTTGTGTCCAAAGTCTAGCGCCATATAACTCAGTGAGGATAAAATTAAAAAAAAAAAAAAAAAAAAATCAAAAAAAGAAAAACTTAACATATGGCGGCGGGAATGGATAGATGGTATGGATTCTCAGATTCATCCCGCCACTCGTTGAGCCCAAGGGTAGTGTAGGAGCAGTCGCATTTTGGATTTATACATACATAAAAAATATAATGGAAGAATGAAATTATGTCGGGAGATGTCGGCAGGATCAGGGATCGGCTGGGTGCCTAAAACTGAAACGGCGGCGCATCGCGGCACGTGTGAGCACCCATGGGCGTGATGAGGACGTGCAGGGTGAGTGTGTTCCGCTGATTGCCCGTCAAATGGGGACTCAAGTAGGGGGATGTGTGCTCCAGCTCCTCGTACGGCAGCAGGTTGTCCAAATTGATGACGCGCGACGTGTCCGAGAAGTATTCCGTGCGCTCCACCACCGTGCGGATATGTGAGATCGTGTTCTGCACGCCAACGATCAGCACAGCAATCTGGAATGACATGAAACGGTCCATTAAATGGTTAGATCCTCCTCCGCCCTGGACTGACTTACCTTGAATCGCTCCTCGCCTATGTTCTGGTGCTTGCAGGTCACTCGCAAGCGAACCGTATTCAGGGAGCAGCCTGGTACATCCTCGCCGCACACCATCTTGGCCTTGTTGTACATGACACCGCGCGGAAAGAACTCTATCTCCCAGGTGGTACAGGGATCTGTTCAAAGAAATCACAATATATATAGGACTGGCGGGAAACCCTTACGAGAAACAGCTCACCATCCTCCACCTCGGCGATGTGACGCTGCGAAAAGAAGAGCTTCACGTAGTTCTTGTAGTCCTCGATCTCGTCGAAATTGTGCACATCTATGTCTACGCTCCAGGTGTCGTTCCAGTAGAGGCGCGGCGTAAACTGCAGTTCACCGGATTCGGTGGCTCGCACCTCCCGCACTCGATCCTCCTGTCCGGACTGGTAGCTCATCCCAATGGCTATGCGATCGACGAGGAACTCCTTGTGATACTCGATCAGCGGCTCCATCAACGACAGATGCGACAGTTCCTGCGGCGTCATCATTCCGAAACGGATGTGCGTTACCGTCTGTTCGATGAGCTCCATGAAGCTGGCGTTACAACTGGCCGCGGAGCCGGAGGTCGCCTCCATTTGCTCGCGCCGGTGCAAGAGCCAGGTCTGCACAATGGCAAACAGTTTGTACTCGCTGGTGATGACTATGTCGTTCTGCTGCAGAAGGAGCTGCATTATGGCCGGATCCATTTCCACAAAGTCACGCGACTCGGCCACCATCTCCAGGTTCCATTTGAGGAACCGCTTCAGTGTCTCGGTGAGATCGTTGTGGGTGGGCGTGAAGGAGAGCGTGTACTGCAGCCACGAGACCAGGTAGCCGCTGGTGGCCGCCTTCGCTACATGCTTCGTCATGTAGCCGACGCAGAGGTCTATCAGGTCGCGCACATTGTACTTGTCGCTAAGCGCCAGCATCGGCATCACCGTCTGCAGGGTGACCGCAATATGTCCGACATACAGGTACTTAATGAACTGCGGGAACACCGCCGAGCAGCATGCCTCCTCGTGCAGCTCAATAACTCGTTTACTGCACTCGTTCCACTCCGGATTCATCAGCATCACTTGGAATACATCGCTGCTGGCGCACAGGATGACCCGGTGTGCCGGATACTCCTTTCCGTCAACCAGCAGCACAATGTCCGACATAAGCTTTTCAGCGTACAGGTTAGCGATCTTGTTGAGAACGCTATTGGCATCGACCATCTGGAGAGGATTAGAAGTAAAGGATCATAGGTGGAACAAAATAAAACACTGGGATTTGGTCAACCTACAGTGCTGGCTCCATCCTGGGCGTCGTCCACCTCCAGACACTTGCGTCGTTTGGCATCCTGATCATCATTGGGGTTTGTGCCGTTCACGGGACTCTCCAATGGACTCTCATTGGGATTTGCTGGCGGGGATGGTGGTGGAGTAGCTGCGTCACCCTCCCCTACAGCCGCCGCTGCGCCACCTCGGGGGGCCTCGGGCGCAACAGCAGGAGCCGCCTCTGCACCACCCGCTGCACCTGCCCCACCTGCACCTCCGGAGACTGGGGCTCCTCCGCCTCCGCCTCCGCCGCTCGAGCTCATCGGGAATCGAGAATGCGCGAAACGGCCCACTCCTGGCGGGTGTTGTTCTGCTGAGACGATTCAAATACACTTTACAGGACTGCTGTGCTTCTCTGTGAATCGGATCTCGGTCAGCTGTTGGAGCAAAAAAGAAATCGATGGAAAACAACTATATTCGATAACCGTTATCCATCACTGGAGGAATCAGTGCTGTAAACTAACCCCCAGTGCTCCAGTGCTGTAAAAGAGAATAAAAAGTAGGCTTTTACAGCACTGTTACAACATAGTTTTATTAAAGGAACCAATTTCAACATATCTTTCATCAAATCCACAGCTAAAAATTTCCAGACTACCTTACCCGAGAAAGAAAACTTTCAATTCTTAAATTCCCATTAATATAAGACTTGCCTATTGGACCTTTCTGAAACATAACAACACTATTTATCGGTGTCTATAGCGATCGCTGTGGAATATTTTGCAACACTAATTTACTAGCTATGTACAGTTTGAAATTTACCGGTTCACTTTATTAGCGTCTCCTCCACTTGTTAACAAATAAGAATTAAAAATAATCGATAATCGAGATCGCCAAAGAAGCCATGGTCTTCGTCGAGCACAAGACTAAGATCCTGGAGCTGACGAGCAATCACGTGGATCGCCTGCATCAACTATGGTCGCACATATTCGAGGAGAAGACCTGTGAGGATTTCCTCATCCGACTGAAGGAACACGCCGATAGCTTCTACACGGATCTGCTGAACGAGTCCCGGGAGAAGCAAGAATGTGTCCAGAAAGAGATTCACAACTTGCGGACGGAAGCCAGCAACCTAACACGTCTGCTCCACGAGCCGATGGACGTTGGTGATCGTCCGGCGGGCATGCCTCTGGTTGTGTGGCAACTAAAGCTGGATGAGAGCATCGAACACCTACGCGAGGGCGTGGCAAAGCGTCGGGCGGAGATCTCTGATCTGTTGCAGAAGCAGGAGCAGTTGTGCCAAGAGCTGGGCGAGCAAGCGATTCCCCTGCTGGACGATCCGCTGGCCACGCCTCAGGAAATGAGCTATTTTCGGGAGCACCTCGATCAGCTGCGCGAACAGCGAACGCGACGAGTCGAGGAGATAAAGCAACTGCGCCATGGCATCAAACTTGACATGAAGCTGCTGGGGTGCCTGCCGCAGACGGAGGAGGAGGAGCGCCTGCTCAACCAGATCAATCCCAATCTGACCGCCGAAACCTTCAAAAGCCTACATCGCATGCAAAAGGAGTTCGCCGACCAGGTGCAGGAGCTGCGTGACCAGATCGACGACATGCGGGGAAAGATCCAGGTGCTGTGGGAGCGCCTCCAGGATACCGACGAATACGCCCAACGGCGGGTGAGGGAATCGACAGCCTACAACCAGCACACCTACGACGTGCTTCGGGAGGAGCTGCAGCGCTGCCAAGCCCTCCGCCGACAGAATCTGAGTATCTTTGTCGATCGCCTGCGGGTGGAAATCAAGGAGATGTGGGATCTGACTCTCAAAAGTCCCGCGGAATGCAAACGCTTCACTAGCTATTACAACAAAAACCTCACCGAAGAGGATCTGGAGCTGCACGAGCTGGAACTGGAGCAGTTGAAGAAGCTGTATGACGAAAACAAGAAAATATACGAGATGTACAGCAGCCGTACTGAGATGTTTGCCCGCATGATAGTTCTGGAGACCAAAGCTAATGATCCGAACAGGTTCAACAACCGCGGCGGGCAACTCCTCAAGGAGCAGAAGGAGCGCAAAGCCATCACGGCCAAGCTACCAAAGCTAGAGCAACAGATAGTAGAGCTAGTGCAGGAGTACGTGAGACATGCCAAATCCCCTTTCCTGGTGAACGGGGTCAGTATTCTGGAGCAGATGGCCGCAGACTGGGAGAATCTCCGCCAGCCCAAGCAGCCGCCGACCTCCGGCAAGAAAGATCCTGGCCATAAAATGATGCCGCCTTCGGCGCCTCTAACGCCAAAGGCTCTCAAAGGCAAGCCGGGCGTCTACGGGTCCACATCATCGCTGAAGAAGACGCCATCGAAGATGAAGTTGCCCAGTGCTGCCAAGAGCACGGGCAATCTACAGAAGCGGCGCCATCCCAACACCACCAACAACAACATTGAAAACACAAACGAACCATCGGCGGCAGCTGCCAAAAGAAACTTAATTGCGTCCCTGGAGTGTAACAATGCTGTCCTGGGAACAAATACCCAGCGGAAAATGCACAAGTCGCCGCAGAAGAAGGTACGCGTCCTGGACTACTCCTTGCGTCGCGATAAAATCAATGGAAGACCCAGCAACGGTGGCAGAATCACGCACAGAAACCGTCCAATCCCACAAGTGCGCGTCCAGCCACCGTCCAGCGAGGACAATCGAAGCGACGACAGTGAGGGCATTGTGGATCTGATGTCGCCGTAGAAGTACCACCAATTACCCATATGATATGTACACAACCCGATGCAATAGTGTCAGCTGCTGATCTGTGTTCTACTTTTACCTTAATCCACAAGTTTACGATTTTAGGGACAATTGATATTTCTAGTTCATATGTATATGTAGGTGCCATTTTATGTATTTTCAATAATTTAGCTAAAAAGCAAAATATACTTTAATTTGCAATATTTTAACATTAATATTCTTAATTTTGACATTAAAGGAAAGGCCTGCTTTGATTTAAACAGAGAAATTAAGGTCCTACTACTAGTAGATCCTTCAGATATTACTAGATTATACCAGAAAAATGTTAGTATATACTAGAAATAGTATGTCCTAGCTCTAAATTAAAAGCTGGGGAAAATGTTTGGCTAACAAAGCATGCTGGGCATTTTAAAAAAGGTATAAAAGTCGGAATTCTGCCTGGAAAAGCATCATTCAAGAAAAAATCCTTGAGGCGAACGGACCTACGGAAGAAAGCTCTAATATCGAAAATAAAAAAGTAAGTAAAAAGGAAAAATTTTCAAATAATTTATCATTAAAGAAAATTATTTTCAGCGAACAAATCTAAAAATGGAAGGCGAAAAATTTAATAAGAAGGAGGATTTCGGTAAGGAAGAACCAGAAAATAAGGATTTTCTTGAGAATTCTTATAACCTAAAAATGGAAGCTGAAAATGTGAAGAAAAATCAAGATTCTGGAGAGGAAGAACTAGAAAGCGATGATTCTGGAAAGGGACCAGCAAAGAAAGTGAATTCTGACGAGAAAAAAGAAAATATGGATTTTCTTGAGAATTCTGATGACCTTCTGGATTCTTCTGAAGAGGAAGAACTAGAAAGCGATGATTCTGGAAAGGGACCAGCAAAGAAAGTGAATTCTGACGATGAAAAAGAAAATATGGATTTTCTGGAGAATTCTGATGACCTTCTGGATTCTTCTGAAGAGGAACAACTAGAAAATATGGATACCGGTAAGGAAGCAGCAAAGAAAGTGAATTCTGACGAAAAAGAAAATATGGATTTTCTTGAGAATTCTGATGACCTTCTGGATTCTTCTGAAGAGGAACAACTAGAAAATATGGATACCGGTAAGGAAGCAGCAAAGAAAGTGAATTCTGACGAAAAAGAAAATATGGATTTGCTTGAGAATTCTGATGACCTAAAAATGGAAGGTGAAAATCTGAAGAAAAATGAGGATTCTGGAGAGGAAGAATTAGAAAATATGGATACCGCTAAGGAACCAACAAAGAAGAAGATTTCTGGCAAGGGAAAAGAAAAGCCCCTATCTCGAAGTGCTCGTGCTGGACTTAAGTTTCCTGTGGGACGCATCCATCAACGTCTGAAGAAGTTCAACAATAACCGTATTGTCCAATCCACTGCAGCCGTTTGTTGCGCTGGCGTACTCGAGTACTTGACCTCAGAAGTGATTGGAGCAGCTGGGATGGCTATGAACGACGCCAATCGTAAGCGTATCACAACTCATCACTTGCAGGCCGCTATTCGCGGAGACGCGGACCTAAAGAGCCTGGTTCAAAAATTGCGCCCGCGCCGCGAAAAGAAGAAGAAGGATGATAGCGAGGAGGACTCGGAGTAAAAAGGCGGATAGAAAATTTGGTGATGACTTGCAAGATTTATTTAACAAATCATCTTGGCTGTTATTGTTCAAAACATTGTCATTTGCATTTAATCACGTTATACCTAAATAAACTTTTCAATTTAACTGTCAATTGAATTTATGGGCATTACTTTTTAGTGTTGGTAAGGGAAGGGAACTTATATTATTTAGAATAATAAAATGAAGATTAAAAATCCTCACTATTATTATGTAAAATATTTAATTGTTTTATTAATAGATGAGACATTACAAAAACTTAATTTTTTCCCCAAAAATATCACAATTCCTAATTTATAGGCAGCACTTTTAGATTGCCACCTTGTTAAAAACACATTTCAACTGGGTGGCAACATTTTTGGCCGCCATTTCGGTTTGAATTTACCGATAATTTCGCATAGCGTCATTCAGGAACTCAATAATTGGGAATGCACTCCAAATAACTCCAAATAGTGGCCCGTTCAAAGGCGAAACAACAAAATATTCACAGTGCGAAAGGATGCCCTTCCAGTAGTGATTAGATTAGACAGCAAACAAAGCAGCTACATCCCAGCACGTCAGACTACGAAATAATCAACAAAAAAAGATACTCAATTCCCACAATGAATGTCCTGGGCAGTCCCACGGCCATTAAGGCCAAGATACTGGAAATGACCGGCGAGCACGTGGACCAGCTGCACGTGATGTGGTCACACATCTTCGAGCCGAAGACCTGCCACGAATTCCTCCTCCGGTTGAAGGATCACGCTGACAGTTTTTACACAGACTTGCTGAACGAGTCGCGGGAGAAACAACAGGGTATCCTCGACGAGATTTCCGGCCTGCGGGCCGAAGCCAGCAACCTGACTCGTCTGCTCCACGAGTCTGTGGACATTGGCGATCGACCGGACGACATGCCACTAGTATTGTGGCAACTGAAGCTGGACAAGAGCATCGAGCATCTGCGCGAAGAGCTAGCCAGGCGGCGGGCCGAGATCTGTGAGCTACTGCTGCAGCAGGAGCAGCTGTGCGAAGAGCTGGGCGAACTGCCTCTGCCTCTGCTGGACGATCCGCTTCCCACACCCGAGGAAATGGACTGTTTTCGGGGGCGCCTCGATCAGCTACGCGAGCAGCGAGTGCGCCGCGTGGAGGAGATGAACCAGCTGCGCCAGAGCATCAAGCACGACATGAAGTTGCTGGAATGCCTGCCGCAGACGGATTCAGAGGAGCGCCTGCTCAACCAGGTGAATCACATGCTTACGCCCGAAACCTTCGAGCGATTGCGTCGCATGCAGAAGGAGTTCGCCGACCAGGTCAAGGAGCTGCGCGAACGGATCGACGACATGCGGGAGAAGATCCATGTGCTGTGGGAGCGGCTCCAGGAGAGCGACGAATACGCCAAGCGCCGGGTGCGTGAGTCAACGGCCTACAATCAGCGCACCTACGACGTGCTGCGGGAGGAACTGCAGCGCTGCCAGGCTCTGCGGCGCCAGAACCTAAAGACATTCATCGAGCAGCTACGCATCGAAATCAAGGAAATGTGGGACTTGACCCTGAAGAGCCAGCAGGAACGGATGCGTTTCTCAAACTTTTACAACGACTGGTATAACGAGGACCTGCTGGAGCTGCACGAGCTGGAGCTGGACGATCTGAAGAGCTTCTACAACAAAAACAAGGGCATATTCGAACTGTACGAGAGCCGCGCGGAGCTGTGGGCGCGCATGGAAGCACTGGAGGCGAAGGCCAGCGAGCCGAACCGTTTCAACAATCGTGGCGGCCAGCTGCTGAAGGAGGAGAAGGAGCGCAAGGCTATCACATCCAAGCTGCCCAAAATCGAGCAGCAGATCACCGAGCTGGTGCAGGCATTCGAGGCGCAGGAGAACACCCCGTTCCTGGTGCACGGCGAGAATATTCTGGAGCGCATGGCGGAGGACTGGGAGCGTCACCGTCAATCCAAGCAACAGAGCTCGGCGCGAAAGAAGACTCCGGCCCCGTCGTCGGCCAGCAAGTTTATGCCTCCCCCAGCTCCAGGATCTGTGGCTCCTCGCACGCCACGCACACTCCGCAATATGTCCACGCTGTCCAGCTCCACCATGTCCCTGAGGAAGACGCCCTCGCAGCAGTATCTGCGTCCACACAACATCACCAAGAGCACCGGCAATCTCCACAAGCGGCTGCATCCCCCAGCCGCCGCCCAGCCAGGGTCCAAGACTCCGTCCGCCAAGCGCAGCCTGATGAGCTCACTGAACTCCATCAAAGCCTCGCCGGCACTGCGCAGCCCTGCCCAGCGCCTGCTGGCCGCCAACCAGAACCAGAGCCAGCTAAAGTCCACCAAGTCACCGCTGAAGCGGGTACGCGTCCTGGACAACACGCTGCGCCGCAGCGGCGGATTGGGCACCAGCCGACGCAGTATTGGAACACGATCCAGCAAAAAGATGCGCACTAGGGAGTCACCGCAGCGTGCTGGAACCGAGGAGACGGACTATACCACGGACGAGAATAATGAGAATGGGGACACGTATGAGGAGTTCCAGCCGCCGAGTCGTTCCTCGATGCTGCCACGAATGCGCCACCAGTTGGCCCTGCCCCGCAAGCGTCAGATGGCGGCGACCATGAAGCAGCAGCACCAGCAGCTAACCGAGGAACCGGAACAGCCGGAGCCGAGATTTAATTTGCCGTCGCCGAGGGAGAGCATGATGCTCGTGCCGCGTAGAGATTTTTAGATTATTTGGAGATTAATTGAAATTAACACGTACCTACTCTCGTTCGTATTTGGTTTTTCTTTTTTTTAATGTATTTTCATTATATTTTCTGTTTTTCGTTTTACGTTGCACCAATAAACATGATTTCTGTTTGCTGAATCGCATAATGAGTTCCATTTTTAAATTTTTAGTTTTTTTGTTTCTATTTTAAAACTTTGTTATCAATCTTAACAATTAAAAGTTGAAATACCTCTCTTAAAACTATATGTCCATTCCCAGGTCTTGAAAAAAAAGATCCCCTAATTAAAATTAAAAAAAAATAAGCATTTAAAATTGTTCCTTTAATTCTTAATACCAAAATAGAACACAACAATGAAGTTTTACCCAAAAAAAACATTCTTGCACTTATCTTTCACTTTAAAAAAATTAATTATTAAGTTTAAAGTTTTTCAAAAACGTTTTTTTTTTATTTTTACCTTGTACAATGACGAAGAAATACTTTATTTTGACTAAACTACTTTAAAAATATTGAAGATAACTAGTTTTAAGATTTGAGTTTAATTTTTTTTACTTTTAAATTTATATATTTAAGGAATACATATTTCTTATTTTTTATACATATGTACTTAAAGTCTTAGAATAAACTCTATTTGTTAAAATAAAATAACCAAATGTTTATTATTAATTATAGCTAAAAGTTATAGAACGAAGGTTAAGTATAAGATCAGTTCTTATAAGAGTTTCTTGGATGAATCAGGACCCAGGACCTTATCAAACACATGATCATACACCTTTTTGTCAATATCTGGCCCAATTCTTAACATATTTCAATAAGCCATATACATATTTATATTTAACTCAGCACTTTACTACCTTCCTTCATTAATTATCAATATTCATTATTAATATATGGGTAACATTGCATTTTATTCATTCTTCAGAAACAAAACATAATGTTATCCATTCCAAAATTTTCGAAAACGATTTTTACAATTTTTAATAGTCAGACCTATATAAATTATCACTATACTACTATACTTTTCGTAGTTTTTAGAGAGAAAAGGTATACGATTTCTTGATCTGCCAAGTAATAGCCAAGTTATAGATATTATAGCATTAATAAAGTTCGTTTCGGCCATTAAGCTTTTAGCCAAAATAAAGAAACACTTCATACACTATTAGACAATATTTTTTCTATTTTATACCCTATTTTAAAACGAAATAAGAATTTTAAACCAGGACCTTAATGATTAAAGCGTAATCTCCTTTGAAAAATCTTTTTTTTTTATGAAAAATAAATAAATTAATACCAGTTAATTAATAAAAACAGCGTCCTCCCTTTCGATTCTCATAAGTGCCACCTAATTACCACCAAAAATTGAATATAAAATATAATTCCATATTTTAGGAAAAACTTATAAAAATAAATCTATTTAAATTGATTCAATAAAATAGAGCCTTCCTTCTCCATTCTCTATCATTGGTGGCACTTTTTAGATCAAAAAAACGAAAAGAATGAATTAATAATGCTTAATTTATTAATTAATTGTTTTAAATTATTTTACAAAACAATAAATTAATATAAACTAGCTAAAAAAACGATTTCCTGCTGGATTCTCATAGGTGGCACCTAGGCAGCATCAAAATAAAAAGCGTTGGATATAGGAATTCTACTTATTTTGGCGAAAAATAAACAATAACTTAATAAAAAAATAATTAATTAAAAAGTGCCCTCCTCCTCGATTCTCATAGGTGGCACCTAAGCACCTCCGAAAATTCAAAAAATAAAATTATTTTTTTTAATAAAAAATAATTAATTAAAAAAAACAGCGCCCTCCTCCTCGATTCTCATAGGGGGCACCTAAGCAGCGCCAAGAAATGGATAAAAAAAATTAATTCGACTTTTTTTTAATAAAAAAAAAAAATAAATTTAATTAATAAAAACAGCGCCCTCCTCCTCGATTCTCATAGGTGGCACTTAAGCAAGCCTGAAAACTCGGGAAAATTCTTTTTTTTCGTGTAGGTTTTATTGCTTGCTTTTGTTGTAAAATTTGTTGTTGTAGTTTATTGCTGTTGTGATTGTTGTTGTAATTGATTGTTTTTGTTAGTTTTTGTTGTTGTTGTTGTTGTTAGTTTTTGTTGTTGTTGTTGTTGTTGTTAGTTGTTGTTGTTGTTAGTTGTTGTTGTTGTAATTTGTTGTTGTTGTAATTGATTGTTTTTGTTAGTTTTTGTTGTTGTTGTTGTTGTTAGTTGTTGTTGTTGTTGTAATTTGTTGTTGTTTTAATTTGTTGTTGTTGTAATTGATTGTTGTTGTAATTGATTGTTGTTGTAATTTGTTGTTGTAATTTTTTTTGTTGTAATATTTTTGTTGTTGCATTTTTTTTGTTGTAATTTTTTTTTTATTTAATTTAATTTTTTTTTTTTTTGTTTTTATTAAAAAAAAATTTTTTTTTTCCAATTTTTTTTTAAAATTTTATTTTTTAAATTTTATTTTTTTGTTTGGAGAACGGCATTAGGAGAGGCTGCTATTCTGAAGTTGAAGCACCGGCTTAACCTCCGGCTTATTAAAAACCTACACATTCTACATAGAAAATTAATAAATTAAATTTTTAGTGATGGAAGTAAATCGATAGCCACTGGAATGAAGATCACCAAATGGGAGCAGAAAATTAAGTTTGAAGCATACTTTTAGGCAATCGGGACATTTTTGCCTAAAACATAGCCTTAAATGTTTTTAACTGAGAAGAAATTCAATAAAAAAATAAAAAATAAATTTAATTAATAAAAACAGCGCCCTCCTCCTCGATTCTCATAGGGGGCACCTAAACAGCCCCTGTGAATGAAAATAAATTAATTAATAGTAATTACTAATAAATTAAGTAATTAGTAATCAGCTACTTATAATTATAATTATTAGTTAAAAAATGCCTTCCTCCTCGATTCTCATTGGTATTACCTGATCAACACCAGAAAATCTAAACAAAAGTTATAATTTTTAGAATACGAACTTTTTTGGAAAATAAATAATAAATTAATGGAAACTAATAAAAATAAAAAAAAACATCGTCCTTCTCCTAGATCCTCATATAGGTGGAAACTAATCTGTAATAAGTAGTAACTATTCCAAGGATTAGCCAAGTCTGAACCCAGTTCCATTTCCTGACTAATAAAGTTCAAGAATACATAGGTTTTAGTATTTATTTTTCTCAATAATTAAATATCCGAGGAGATAGGAGCAAATCCTCCTATGAAACACACCATACCCGGATGTATGTTTTAAAAAATTGTACCAACCGCCTACACTATATTCGGCAATGTAGGGCAGTTCTTATTCGACTATTAAATACAAATTAACATGTTAAAAAAAAGGCACAGGACAGTGCCTGGTCCTGCGCCTGTGATGTACAATTCGTATGGCAGCCACCTGATGTTCTCATCGCCTGCCTCGGCTATGTACAAATGGAAGCTTAAGACTACACTGGAATAGTTGTCTGTGTTCGGATGAAGTGGCTCTGCAACGTCGGCTATTTAGCGGTGTCGCTGCCGCTCTGGCTATGCTGACTGCCACCGCCATGGTTGTACATGAGATGTGCTGAAAAAGACAGAGACGGAGAGAACTATTAGAAAAAGATGGCAATATGCAAAAGGAAGATGATGTTTACCCATTACGACGGGAGGGAAGTTGAAGGCGCCAAACGGAGCACTCGACGGAGCAAAGCTGTTCCCGTCCAGGGTATTTCCCGCCGCCGACGAGGTGGTACCCGGAGCCAGTACCCCTGCAGTTACGCCACTGTTCTGGTAAGCGCCCGGCGAGTGAATGACTGTGGTGGAGGAGGAGTTATCGGCTCCGATGGCGGCCGACAGCTGGGGATCAGAGCCGGCGGGATAACGGGCCGGCGGCATCACCACCGTAGTGAGATGCGACTGAGCGCTTTCTTCCAGCAGACCCGTTCGCTGGAGGCGACCCGTCTTCGTCTCGATGTGCTTGTTGTGGGCGGTGAGGCAGTGATTGCGCATATTGTACAGCTGGAGGAAGTAGGTGTCGCAGTGCGGGCACTTGTAGCGCTCGCCCGTATGCCGGCGGATGTGCGCCTTGAGGTCGTTGCTTTGCGTAAAGCTCTTGGGGCACTGGTCGCACTTGTAGGGCCGTTCTCCGGTGTGGGTGCGCATGTGAATGGTCAGGTTGTAGGCCCGGTGGAAGCTCTTGCCGCAGGTGTTGCACAGATTTGGCTTAGTGCCCGTGTGGTAGCTAGAATTTCAACAGTTATCAGTTACAGTCTAGAATCTGGAAAGGATTAGCACTTACCGCTCGTGGACCTTGAGATCGGTGGCCCGGGGGAAGGCCTTGACGCAGTAACGGCACTTGTACGGCTTCTCACCATTGTGGCGCCGCATATGGACGCGGAGGTAGTCGTTTCGGGCAAAGCTATCGCCACAAATGCAGCACAGGAAGTTCCTCTGCCCCGTGTGGGTCTTCTCGTGCTCCCGCAGCAGCGCCCGCTCCCGGAACGTTTCGTCGCAGCTCTTGCAGGCGTACAGGAAATCGGTGTGCAGCAGGGTGTGCTTACGCAGGTAGGTCTTGCTGGAGAAGCGCTTCGAACAGTACTCGCAAGTGTGCTCGGCCAGTTGCATCTTTAGTTCGCTGCCGGGCTCCAGGCCCTCCCCATTATGCTTGCTCAGCTTGTGCCGCTCCAAGGCTTCCGGACGAGCAAACGCCGCCTCGCAGAGACTACACTTGTGCTCCTTGTTGCTGTGCAGGCTCTGGACGTGCGCTTTTAGGTGATCGCTGCGCGCAAACGCCTTCGGGCAGTGCGGGCAATTGTGTGGCTTCTTCTCCAGATGCGAAAGCTTGTGGCGCAGCAAGTGGCAGTGGCGCGAAAAGGTGCGCTGACACACCTCGCACCGGTTCTCCGGATTGGATGTGGGAGAACCCTCTTTTTTGCGGCGACGCCGTCGCTTTCCTTTTTTCCCCAAACGCCCGCCGGCGCCCTTCAGAGGTTCCTGCTTCAACCGGAACCCTCGGCCCTGCCCGTCGTCGTCATCCTCGCCATCGCCATCATCGTCCTCCTCGTCGTCGTCGTCCAAACAGCTTTCCTCTTCGACGTAGTTGTAGAACTGATCGTCGTCACTAAGCGGCAGTTCCCCGGCAGCCCGCAGATGCTCCAGGAAGTCCTCACTGCCCATAAAAGCATCTTCGTCGCCACCCCGCTCCACTTTGATGCTCATCTGCGAGTCACCGCTGGGTTCGCCTAAGGAATATATGGAAAATGGAAATGAGTTTCGGTGGATTCTGCCAAGTGATGAACACTTACTCTTCACATGGGCGTCGCCAGAGGCTTCGGCTGAGAAGACAGCCTTTTCCCGTCGTCGCCGCTTCTTCTCGAGGTTCAGTTGGGCGACCAGGTCGACCTCCTCAGCCTCCAGGCAGGGCTCCGGCTTGATGTTCAACCATAGAGCCTGTTTGGCCTCGTCGTTGTCATCGTCCTCCTCCTCGTTGCTGGAAATTGGGTTTGTATTGCACTCTAGGGCAGCTCCGTCTTCCTGGTCATCGCCCTCCTCGTTAAGCAGGACCTCAGCCGCGACCAGTTCGTCGCCTTCCGCTCCTTCCATAGTCGTCTCATCGTGATCCGCTGAAGCCCAGGCCGCTGTTAGATCGTCCTCCGAGCGATTATGCATGTTGCGCATGTGGCGCAGCATATGGTCGCTCCGGGTGAACGTCCGCGGGCAGTGGCCGCACTGCAGCCGAGCGGTCTGGTCGTGGCTCTTCGCCAGGTGGATGCGCAGCTGCCGGAGATGGGGGAAGCTCTGAGGGCAGAACTTGCACTTCAGCTCCTCCTCCTTGTACTCTTTCGCCGACCGGTGGACACGATTTCGGTGCAAACGGAGATCTATGCTGTTCAGGAACTTGTCGTGACACAGCTCGCACGACAATAGGGCCACCTGCTCCGTTTGGGTGGACGCCTCGGCGCCGGAAGCCTTAAACTGGGGAGAACGCCCCAGGAGACCTACCAGTGAGCAATAAGAGCGTTCCGCGTCCCGCTTGAAACGGTAGGCATTGCGTGCTGCCTCCACACACGAACCGCACATGTGCGATGGCATCCCATCCTGCCTCTCGCACGGATGGACTGTGCACTCCTCCAGGATGCGGGCCAGGTTGGCGTCCTGTTCCACGGCCACCTCGGCAAAGATGAAGTGCAGCTCTCCTGGCTCCTGGCTGGCGTTTCTAAGGCAGACACGGCATACGCGATCCGGGTCCACGGCATCCACTTTTTCGTATCCCGCCGGCTGGGGCGGGATTTCCGACTCCTGTTCCGGATCCGTGCCCGGCTGCGGATGGGGCGATGCCATGGCAGGTTGCGCGTGCTCAAGGTATCGCTATAGCAAGGGCTCATCAACAATTATTACCGTTGCCGCTGCTGTTGTTGCATATCCCCGGATTTTGCTATTTTCTTTTATTTTACCAATTTTTTTTTACCAAAACTATGGTCACTCTAAGCATTAATGCAAACATCGGATACGGATGTGCCCTATCGATAACCATTATAACCGGATGATCTTTAACTAAGAACATCCTAATTTTTGATTTTTTTTTATAATTTAATGTTTTTAATTTTTAAATTTGTTTTCATTTTATTAAAATTAAAAAACATGTATTTCAAAGTACGTATTTATCAAAAATATATCTACAGGTTCACCAATCTCTTTTTTTTTATCATTTTCCTTTTTTTAATAAAAAATAATTAACAAAAATGATTTATTAAAGTTAAGAGCTCAAGGAACGAACATATTTTCCAGAATTTTCATCCACAATCAGAGTCAAGTCTCCATTTTCAGGATCCACCCAGGCGGAGGGGAAAGTCTTATCCACATGGACAAAAACGTCCTTAAAAGAATAATGATTAAATAATTGATTTTGAAATTAAATTCATTAACTCACCTGGACCACAGTAGCTTTTTCAGCGCCCGTTACTACAAAGGCCACATGCCTGGCATTGTTGATCAGCGGCAGGGTGAAGGTAATCCGCTCCGGAGGAGGCTTGGGCGAGTTTCGAATGGGGATCACCAGTCGTGCGTCCTGACGCAGAGACTCCGGCTGCTCTGGGAACAAGGAGCACGTGTGACCGTCGGGTCCCATGCCCAGGAGCAGCAGATCGAACTGGGGCAGCGAGCCCGTCTTCGGGACCTCCGTCCTGATCTTTACTTCATAGTCTTCCGCGCAGCTGTCCAGATCTAACAGGGTATTGGCCTTTATAAACTGTTCGTCTCGAATGGAGGGAAGCTCGTTGGCCCACTGCTTCTTGTAAGCGTGGTAGGTGCTGTGTTCACTGTTTTCTGGAACATATCGCTCGTCGCAAAAGAAGAAAAGCCAGAGGCTGGTGTCCAGATCGGACTCAATCAACGCCTTCGTCAGCAGCTTGACCATCGAGCCACCTGTGGATAGAGGTGACATACTTGACATCTGGCCTTGGACTTGCGCCTTCACCGGCAAGGTCACCCCAAGTAGGGCTCACCTCGCCGCCGATTCTTACCCGAAAGCCCGACATAGAACTGTCCTTGCCTGGTGGATGCCTCATTGGCAAGCCGTTTCAGAAGATCGCCCAGGCTCTGCACCAGGTCGTTCTCCGAGTCGACCGAGATCACCTTCAACGGACTCTTGCGCTTGGACATGTTTAATTAAAAATGAGTTTTGATAACGAAAGTCGACCTGTCGAAGTCGATTACCTAAAAACTATCGATAACCAAGAGCCGGGTATTTGAATTATTGCTCCAAACTTAAATATTGAGAGCTTTTAAAATGGAATCTGTTTGAATTTTAAATAAATGAAATAATCTTACATTTATTTAAAGAAAAGGTATGTTTTTTCTCGCAAGGACATTTTTTTAAGGGATTGTGAAAATTTTAACGATAGGAAATGCGATATGAAAGCCTCTGTAGATAACAAATGTGTAATAATTGCGTTAATAATTAGCATTTAAAAAAAAAAAACAGTACCAAAACATCATTTTTTTATTGTTTATATATATTTTTTATATATCTCTACCAATATCGATAGGCAAATTTTGTGAAGAAAATAATCGTTCTTTTGTCCATCGCTATTATCGATGGTTTGCCAAAAACTCCCATCACAAGGCAATAAAAAATAAATTTCACGAAATTGCGTTGCTTTGTGTGGAATTTCAACAAACAAGATTTTGGCGAAGATCGCCTTGACTGTCATCCCCATTACAAGTGAATCGTGGATTTAGGAGCTCCACACAGCACAGTAATACCCGAGAGGTGTTTCGTAGGAGGCGGATTTTGATTTGTCCATAATATTCAGTGGAAACTCATCATAGTGTGTGACACTCCTCACAGAGAGCAACAACAATTTCGAGAGCAGAAGAAGAAAACAACAACTAGGAATAAAGAAAAAACGTGCTAAGCTAAGCACCTTTGGATTCTGAATTTATTAAGGATGCCTAAACGCGGCGGAAGCGGTGGCCAGCGTTACAACAACAATAATGCTGGAAATGGCGGCAGTGGCGGTGGCGGCGGTGGATCGCGCTACTCTGCCCTAAAGGACTATGATGGTAAGTGACTGCTTCTATCTATCTAAAAGTATTAGTAGCTTTGAGATTAATTAATCATTTATTCTATAGACCTGGATGACCATCAACGCCGCAAGGATCGCAACAAGAGGCGCGTCAGCTTCAAGCCGTCACAGTTTCCAAACAACAAAAAGGATGTCAAGCTACGCCTTGAGGATTTCCGTCGCTGGGACGATGATGACGATATGAATGATATGACCACCAATGCAAAGGTAAGTTCTCAAATGCCTCCTAACATCGTAGATGCTTCTATATTACAACTTAATTATTAGGAGCGTCCTAGCTCCCGTCGTCGAGGATCACCGATTCCACGAGGAAAGTTCGGAAAGCTGGTACCAAATACCTATGGCTGGTATCAAGTTACTGTAAGTCGAAAAATCTTCCTATCTTTTTAGCTTTATGTATAGTCTGAGAAGAGACCTTAAAATAGTTATAGGCTACTATTCTTTTGAACGAGAGTGTGTTTATATGGACTACTAGTGCGTGCCATATAGATAGATCTATATGGACCAGATTTATGGACGCCGCACTATTTTTGGGGCCTCGATAAAGGCCTCTAACCTTATCACATGCTATGCTTTATGGTATTTGTAGTCTGGCACTTGTTTAGACTTTGGTTAAGGTCACTGGCAGTCCCAGTCCATTCCATTTCCAATAACTACATTGGTTGGTGGTGCATCTCTCATCTGGTCGCAGCTCATCACTGGCTGACGTCCCGCCATCAATCGTTGATGTTTATTAATTAATTTCCCTCGTAAAAATCGTAAAGCAAACAAGCACATTTTGTGTTACGTGGAGGTTGGTTGGGGAGCGGGCGGGGGGTGGTAAGAGGCGGCGGGTGGCCAAAACAATTACAATTGCAATTGCAATTGCAATTGTTGCCCAGCCAGCGAGCAGGCAAATAAATATTTATGGTTGGCTTAACACTGTGTAGCTCTAGCCTCCCAAAAACCAGGCTCGGCTTTTTTTTTGGTCCTCGCTGCCAGACAGCCAGCTCGCTCGATGAGCAATCCCCGTCAGCGCTATCTCTCGGCGGGGTCGTAAATGGTGGCCGAACGTTGATGGCCCAGTTAGCGGCTAATAGAACTGCCTCCTTGCTGGCGGGCCAGCCATCATTTCGCCAACAGCCGACGGACTTTCAAGACCCCGTGCTCGTGCCCGTGCCCGTGTTCGTCTGAATCTCAAGAGGGGCCACAGCCATTTAGGGCCACACACTTATCAGCCGTAAACGCAGCCGTAGTCATTGCCGTAACTGTAGCCGGAGCGATTAGATGTGCGATTAGAGGAGCGCTAAGAAATTCGCCAGAAAGCCAACAGCCAACAGAGTCAGAGTCATGGCCACTTTAGGCGCCTGGGACTACACCATATTGGCGGTGGTGCTGGCCATTTCGGTGGCCATCGGCCTATACTATCGTTTTGTGGGCAGCCGGCAGAGCACCACCACCGAATACCTGCTGGCTGGCCGCTCCATGGGGATCACACCGGTGGCCTTCAGTCTGATGACCAGCTTCATGTCGGCCATCACCCTGCTGGGCGTTTCGATGGAGATCTATCAGTACGGCACCATGTTCGTCATCATCAATGTCTCCTACATCGTGTCCACTCCGATAGCCGCCCACCTCATCGTCCCGGTGTTCTACCGCCTGAAGACGGCCAGCGTGTACGAGTACCTGGAGATTCGGTTCGGATACGAAACTCGACTGGCCGCATCCCTCAGCTTCACCCTCCAAATGGTGCTCTACATGGGCATTGTGGTGTATGCCCCGGCCTTGGCCCTGGAGGCGGTCACCGGGCTGAACCAGATCTTCTCGATTGTGATTGTGGGCGTGGTGTGCACCTTCTACGCGACCCTGGGCGGGATGAAGGCCGTCCTCATCACCGACATCTACCAGTCGCTGCTCATGTTCGTCGCCATCTTCTCGGTGATCATCTGTGCGTGGGTGAAGGCCGGCAGCCTCGGCGAGATCTGGCGGGTGGCCCAGGAGAACGGCCGGATCGACATCACCAACTTCAGTGTGGATCCCACGACGCGGCACACGTGGTTCACCCAGATCCTAGGCGGCAGTGCCACCTACCTGGCCATCTATGGCGTGAATCAGACCCAGGTGCAGCGTCTGCTGGCGGTGCGAAGTCTGGGCGCTGCCAAGGCGGCCCTGTGGTGGTGCCTGCCCATCCTGTGCCTGCTGAGCGTGAGCACCTGCTTCTCGGGGCTGTGCATCTACTGGTACTACCGCAACTGTGACCCGCTGCTGGAGGGGCGCGTCAACTCCCGCGACCAGGTGATGCCGCTCTTCGTGGTGGACACCATGGGCGAGTACACCGGCCTGTCCGGGCTCTTTGTGTCGGGCATCTTCTGCGCCAGCCTCTCCACGATCAGCTCGATCATCAGCTCGCTGGCCGCCGTCACCCTGGAGGACTACCTCAAGCCCCTGATGCACTACTGTGCGAAACGCTCGCTCTCCGACCAGCAGACCCTCTGGTATTCCAAGCTGCTGTCCATCTTCTACGGCGCCCTCTGCATCGGCATGGCCTTCATGGCCGGCTCCATCGGCGGTCTGCTCCAGGCGGCGCTCTCCATCTTCGGGATTGTGGGCGGACCTCTGCTGGGACTCTTCACCCTGGGCATGTATGTGACCTCGGCCAATGGGAAGGGGGCCACCGCCGGACTTCTCATCTCGCTGGCCTTCTGCTTCTGGATAGGATTCGGTCAGCCGAAGCCGCCGCTGGTCGGCCTGGACATGTCCACGGAGGGATGCCCGCTGAACAGGAGCTACGCCCGGGATATCTTCCTTCAGACTAAGGCCGCAGTGGAGGAGGATCACTACTTCTACCTGTACAGGATCAGCTACATGTGGTATGCCGCTCTGGGCTTCGTGGTGACCTTCTTCGGGGGATGGTTCTTCTCGTGGGTGTGCGCCCTGCTCGGCTGGGACAGCAACAGGCGGATCTACCAGGACGCGGAGTGCACTCTCATCAAGCACGATCTGTTCGTGCCGCCACTGGCGAAGCGACTGCAGAGGCGGCAGGTGCCACGTCTGGTGGTCACCGGCACCAGCTCCGAGATCGGTGGTGTGTCCGTGGATGCCCCCTCGGCACCGCCGCGACTCGACGAGATCGAGTGGGAGAAGCACAAGGATGTGGCCTAACAAATCCCATCCAAGCTCTATCAAGATACCCTCCTACCGAGAGAGGATCCTCCGTTTTCGTGTCACATTTTATTCACTTTGAACTTTGACCCCAACATTCAGACTCAATAAACATAGCTCATTAATACAAATAACTGGCGATAGAGGTCATCACTTGTGGTGGTAGACGGCAGAGGGCTTCTTCTCCTCCTCCTTCTCCTCCTCCTCCGCATCGGCGGCGGCCTCGTAGTAGTTGCGTCCCTGGGAGAGATGCCACAAAGCCAGGAGACGGGTCAGCTCCTTGTAGCTCAGCGTGCGTAGATCCCGTCGCTCGGCCGTCCTCACCCCGGCGGCCTCCAGCTCCCTCACAAATGTCTCAAACTGTTCCGGTTGCTCCTCCCCGCCGATCTCCTTTCGCGGAGCAATCCTTCCCACAAACTGGGACTCCACCGGACCGGTCTGCTCTTTTGGCTCTTCTTCCACGGATCCCAGGGCAACCAGGTCCAGGTCTTCGTTGGTCATGGGCAGGGAATGGCAACCAGTGGTGGCACACAGGATGGCGAGCATCACCAGGAGGAGGACTCTGCCCGGAATGAGGTTCTTCATGATGGCGTCTGGTTGCGAGAAGCTTTGCTTTGGCACTGATCACTGGCTTACGCCGCCGATCGTCGTCGCCTGGACTCGGGAGCGCTCCAATTTATCTTTCTTCCCTTTCGGTTCACGCTCGCGATCGGCCTTCTGTCTTCTGCCAGAGATGCGCCCTTGGCTTCTTTAAAGTTGACTAATCTTTAGGGGGGTTTCTATTTAGATTATTTTATTATTTTTGCAAGGATTGGACTATAATATTTATTTTCTAATATTTTCTATAATATCTCAACAGTATAACTTATCTGAACCAAAACTTAACTGAAACTGAAATACAATTTTCGATTTATGCTTATCATCATTTTTTATATTCCCAAGCTCTTCCCAAGAGATTTCTTTTTTATAAAAAAAAATAAAGTATTTCACAAGAAACAATCAAATGGTTGTGGCTTTTGTAATCTATTGGGTTCCGTATATAGAAAAATTTTTTAAATCACCCATAAGTACTTTTTAATAGATTTCAGTGGTATTTAATTTTGAAAAAAATTTGGTTTAATTGGCTTCTATTTATTAATATATATTTTTTTTCAATATTAACATTTAAAAATGTCCTAAAAACCACAAAAAACATAGTCCTATTCAAACTATTTGTCTATAAAATCATGCCTATGAAAATACTAAGCTTCCTTAACTTACTAAACTTCCAAAAATCCATAGAAATTTTCCTAAAATATTCAGATATTCTATACAATTTTGTTAAATGATTTTATTTGTAAAATATTACAATAGAAATATTAAAATTTTTTAATTTTACAATTATATCATGTTTTCATCATGTATCATGTATATACAATTATTTAAAGGTTTCAATTGTAATATTAGTGGTTTTAATGTATATTTATCTATTCTAATATATCTATATATAATCTATCATATATAGATTAAAACCACTAATATTATATAACATCAAATCGGTCTATTTTCTGTAAATTTCTATGCGATTTTTAGAGAAAAGAAAATACTAGAACTTTGGTTTTATACAAAGTTTTAAAAATTTACAAATAATAAAATATATATTTAAAGTTTAACATACTTATGTTCAACTTTTTCTGCTTAATTCAGGAATTTTTTAAATTCATTAAACACTAAACAATATATAAAATAGGAAAAACAAGAAAACGAATATAAATAATTATACAATTTCATATACAGTATGAGCAGTTTTTTCTGAAAAAATATAGAAATATTTTAGAAAATTAAAAAATTTTTTAGAATATTTTAAACTACTTTAAATTAACTTCAAAAAAGATTCTAAAGCGTTTGCTGAGATTTTTAATTAAATATATATAAATAGGCTATAAGATAGCTCTTTTTTTTAGCCATTTCCTAGCTAGAAATCACTAGGCATCACTGCCAATGGGCGCTGTTGTTGATTGAAGAGTCAATGGTAGGGTCGTTCAAATTATTTTATCTGCATATGCATTCCATGAAAAAAAAAAAAAATGACAAAAAAACAAACATTGAGGAGAAAGAGACCCCTCCGGACATGTGTTCTTTAATTGCTTTGGTTTTTGGCGTATTTTTTGTACGGATTGGGTCTGGGTTGGGTGGTGTGGTCTGGTCTGGTCTGGGTCTGCTCAGTTCCGTGGATTTTTCCGCCTCCGATTGAAATTATCTGCGCAGTTTTGGTTCTCTCCGTGGATTTGGTTCTCATTCTGAATGATCTAATCTTATCGGGGAAGAGAAAAAAGGGTCATGGATTGGTGTTGTGGTGTTATGGTGTTATGGTTTCCATTATGAAGGGGGCATAATGTGTAGTCCCATTGAAAGGCATATCCCTAGGGGCCTATTTTTTGGGTGACCTAACTAACTGGTGCGGTGTTGCCTGTTTTGAGGCGCAAAATAAAAATGCTTTTAATTTTGATTAGAGACCCTATTCTACCCTATTCTCGTTGTTATGATGAAGAACCCTGACTGTCCAGTTACGACATTGATAATTGCATTTCGCAACCCGCAACCCACCGCCACCAGGCATGCTCATTTGCATTTTCTTAATGCTCGGAGAACTGCTTTGGATCGGAGCATACTACCATACTATATCTCTGTACTATACAGTATTATATATTATACCCGATATGGACGTGGGCCAAACGTGTGAATGGAATATGGCCCACAACATTGAAAGCCTGGCCAGAACGGAGTGACTGATCGTCTCTGGCCCGATGACGGCTAACACGTGCCGTTAGTCACTTCTGGCCAAGCAGAAACCCCTAGACCATAGACTGACTCATGGGGAGCCCAGGAGAGACAAAACTTTTTTTAAGTGTTCTGAGAGAGTGCCCTCCAACCACCTGCCGATGACGATCCCCCCTTTCGATTTTTGTTTATTGGTTGGTGGGTTATGGGTTGATGGGTTATGGGTTCTGGGTTGGTGGGCTTCTGGTTCTGGTGGCTTTTGGGCTTTTGTGGGCATTGCATCGCCTGATGTCATCGGCCACCAATGCGTCGGATTGTGGCTCTTATCTCGTTTGCCAATTGAACTGGCAGGTGCTTCCTGCCCTCTCGCTCTGCCTGCTTTCCGCTCTGCCCTGCCTATCTATTGTCTCGCTTGCACTCGCAAAACACCCGGTTACAGTGGTAATTGGATAAGCTAAACTCTGTTAGATAAAAGATAAAGGTACAGGCTATAAGGTCTATATAGTTAGGGGGTTATGCGAATTCTTTAGAATTTTTTATAGAAAATGGTGGTTTTAAAACAGGTGTTTAGTATTTTTTTAGCTTTCGTTTTAAGCTTAATAATATTAAAAATATATAAATTAATAAAACCAATCTCATAAAATGGTCTTTAAAGTAACAAATTCTGGAAATCTATGGTCTTTTTAGATTTAGATTTTTTTTGGAAATCTTTTGGTTTTATCTTTAATAATCCTAAGAACCTTAAAACGATAAAAAAAGGAATAAAATTAAAAGGTTTTTCAGAGAATTTTATAAATTATTATTATTAAAGTAGTCTTTGAAAAAAAAAAGTGGTGGTTTCTTTATATATCTACCCTACCGTTAAAATATATATTACCCTAACGTAAAAATCCTTAAAACTGAAAAAAAAGATAAGAAAGTAAGAGGTTTTATGAGAGAATTTTAAAAATGGTTTAAAAGGACTGAAGGCATTTTTTTAAACACTTTTTTTAAGTGTTCTGATCCTAACTTTAATACAAAAAAAAAGTAAAAAGCTTAAAACGTTTAGAAAATAATGAAATAGTTATAATTAACGGGACTGTATATTTTTAATAATACAAGCATAATACATAATAATAATAAAATAATATATTTGCTTTGAAAAAAAATTATTAACTAATAGCCATTAACAAAAAAAACTAAAGAAAATAAAACTACATAGAGCTTTCCATTTCGCCAATTGATTCCTAAAACCTTAAACTATCTGGTACTAGAGAAATACCAAGTAATTATAGAACTTTATAATAAAAGTTTTTAGAAAACAAGTTTCTAAGATGAAAAAACAAATAATATACAGAACGAACTAAGTACCGGTTATCATATAATCTGGAAACTTTACTTAAGCCTTCCTTTCTTGTTTCTATAATCTTAATAGAAAACGGAAGTAAAATAATAAAAATTTTGACACATTTGCTCACATTTGTGAATGACTCACTCCACGAATTTTGATAAAAGCAAGGAAATACTAAACTAAATAAAAAACAAACAATGTAGATTACACTATGACGATGAATAGAAATAATATTTGGAGTTTTGAATTAGACTTTAAATAAATATACAGTCTGTGATGCATTCCATTCAAGTTTTTATTCAGAATGGGAATTATTTATATATTTTTTAAAGACCAGAACGCTCTATGACTGTGTTGTTGTTTGAGGTGAGAAATACCTGGTTAATTTGCACAATTATTGATGTAAGAATTATAATACTAAACTACATATACACAAATAAAAAAACCCACTTAGTATGGATATATATATATATATTGACCGGAACACCGGCTTGATCGGGAAGGGAAACTCCAATAGAGTGCAAGATTTAGCGATTCAACAACTTTTTTTTTATTATGAAATTACAATTAATAATTATTCGTTAACAGAGCTTAACTCGATTCATATTCAATATTCAATATTCACATTGTCTATATAGACTCTATATATATTTAGTATATATGTTATGTACACTCTTCACACACGAATGGGATCGATTTAGGGATTTCATATTTCTGTTTCTGTTTCGGTTTCTGTATTATTTTTCGAGTAAACACACATGGCATTGAAAAAAAAAATATATATATATATCTGTATGTATATATATTTTTTATTTAAAAAAAAAAAAAAACAATAGTATAAAAAATTATAAAATTAAATTAAAAATGATAGATAGGGAGGGTTAGTCCTGATCATTGTTGGTGGTGCTGCTGCTGGTCACTGTCTTGGTGGTTGTGGTGGTGGTGCGGGTCAGAGTGAACACTCCAGTGCTGCCCACCTCGTCCAGCGGCTGGGCAATGATGGTGGATGAGGTGCTCTATGGAAGATAAGGATATAATGCCGTGGAAACAAGGACACTCGCGATCAGATGAGCCTGATGGTACGCACGCCATTCTTGGTCTCCTCGGGACTCCACGAACGCTTGTCGTCCAGATCTTTTGAGCAACAGCCTCCCATATTATTATTCTTATTATTGGTTATTATATTTATGTTTAATCCTTGAGATTAACTAGGATTATTGGTTTCTATATAAATATATATATTTTTTTTTGGTTACTCCGGCTTTGAAAGTCCGTGGGCGAATCGCGCGGTTGTCACTTGTTCACTGAAACTCTGGCCCAACCCAACCCAGTCCAATCCCAATCCAACCCACCGGGCCTCGACACTGACGCCGGCGTCGACGCTGAAGCCAGCTGCGACTGCGACTGCGACGGCTACGGCTGGAGTCGTCATAGCTCCATATCAATTCTAGAAATATGTCTCAGCGAGCTCGTATTTTGTATTGTGCGGAATACAATGTATAAAAAAAAAAAGAAGGTATATATATACCTACATATATCCCCTGGTAGTACACACACTTACTCTTTTTTTTATATTTTTGTTGTGCTCTGATATCGTGGATTTCTGTGTACTGTGTGTGAAAACGAACCAAATGCTCGAATTCCATCAGCACTCCCACTTCCCCAAGCCAAAATACCACCCACCCACCACACACTAGCCCCCCCCGGATCGGAGGTGGGTTGGAAGTCATTTCCCGAGAATGCCCCCGATTCCCAAACACAGTCATCATCTTTATATTTTTTTTTTAGATAACCGGTGGCAAGGTGGCCTTGTCGTCTTAACGGTTTTCAACGTAAGCCTATTAAGTCTATCTATTTCAGGGCTGACATTGTTGTCTGAGGCTCGAAACGCATTCCAATGCATCCATCCAACAAAGGATGTTCTAACATCACAAACATTTCAATTTGGTTCTTTATAGTTATTGGTTTTGGTTTCTAGGGGGAATACTAAACCTCGTAAAGCCAACTGATCGAGGGGGGCTTATATGAGATGTAAGATTAGCTTTGGAAGTACTACTTTGGGGTCGAAAATTCTTAGTTTTGAATAAATAATAAACCAGAAGTTCTATTCTGGTTTAGAAAAATGAAATTCCAATCACAAATTGTAGTTCTTTACTTCTAAAAGTCTCTGAAACTAGAGATATCTGCCAAGAATCTTCCTAATAAAACATACATAATCGATAAATATCGATAGATATCAATAGAACAGTTGCATATTTTAAAAGATTATTTATTTTGGCCTTTATTATTATTATTTCATTAATTTAATACATAATATTGTATTTCTTTAGTTCTAAAAGACTATGAAACTAGTAGCATGTACTATAAGAAATGACTAGAAGAGATACATAGTCGATAACTATCGATAATTATCAATTAAACCTCTAGATACTATAAAATTTGATTTTACACAATAATTTATACAATATGTAGCTTTTGGAGTTCTAAGAGTCTCTGGAACTAGGGATAGCTACTATAAAAAATGACTAGAAAATATAAAAAAATTGATAATTATCATTAAAACATTTGTATATTTTAATGTATGATTGATTTTAGCCTTTGTTTTTATTATTGTGTTAAATTTCAATATCATTTTGTAGCTCTTCAGTTCTAAAAGGCTATAGAACTAGAAATATGTACTATGAAAAATAACTAGAAAAGGTACATAATCGATAAATATAGATAATTATTGAAAGAAACATTTAGATGTTTTAAGAAATGATTTCTTTTAGCTTATAATATTATTATATCTTATAAAAATTATTAATTATAAATTATAAAATTAAACTATAGTTCCAGTTTAAAATCTTTAAACTTTAAAATGAAACGCATTTTTCTAAAACAATTTTTATGCAAATCCTTTAAAATAATTTTCCTAGCAATAAACTTAATAAAACAATCACTTGAAATACTCTTTATAGATTCAAAGATAATGCTTTAACCATAAATCTGTTTATCAATTATTGCTTTATTGAGACATTAGAAATTCAAACAAAAAAAAGCAGACAAATTTTTAGATTAAATCCATATGACTAATGGCCAGATAATGAATTAAAAATAAAAAAAATTGCAAGAACTAATGAGCAATTAACTAACGGAACTAATGGGGTACATATTCCCAAAAAATAATAATTATTATCCGTAGAATCTTTTAGGATTTTATATTTAATCTTTTGGCAAGAAAAGGACTTGGTAAATGGGTCAATAATGCGACAATCTGGGGTTAAGAACTTCCAGCCACTGATATCGCGGGGCTTTTTGGGTGTTTTCGGCTGTTTCGGGTGAACAAAAGAGACAAAAATAACGAATCGGCTAATGCCCATAATAATAAATATATTTATCGCATTAATGCGCAATGAATGAGTGGGTGGTATGGACGAATGAACTGACTTTACGGACACGCGGACATACGGACAGACGGTCTGTTTTCAGACTTGATATCTTGTTGATATGAATATGAATGTGAATACTATAGTATAGTGTGTTGTGTAGGTTTAGTGATCATTCACACGATTATTATTTGAATATGTATGTGGGAGTGAGAATACTAAGGCTTCAATCTTGAAGCAGACGATATGATACTATAGTATACTGTACTGTACCCTAAACTGATCTGATTAATTGAATTAATCTCCAGTGATTCCATTTGTACTCCTTATATAGTATTATATATTTGACCGATTAGATACCAACGTATAATAATAGCCAGCGATATTGGGTATCTGACCTTCATGGAGTGAGATCTTCCGCTCTCATTCCATCCAACCATCATCACCTCTGTTTGCCGTACACTCACTCCTAATTAAATCACTGACAGTTCCGATAAGAACTGGCTTCACCTGAAAAAAAAAATAAATAAATAAAAAAATATATATCTAATTAGAGGTGACGAGTCCCTGTCTCCTAAGAGCCCAATAGCATGCAAATGGTGAGGGACGTGAGTGAGTGCCCCACTAAATGCTCATATCGTAATTGGCGGGAATGTGACGAGTGAACAGGGCCAATTATCGATAAGTGACGGGAGTGGACACGCCCACACTTACCACATACCGCCCAGTCATGTGATTGTAGTTATCGAATTTATAAGATGGTTTTTTAAATTTATCAAAATTAGTATTACAAAATAAAACGATTTAATTTATTGTTATTTTATCGATTACTTATCGATTTTGAGGAAATAAAATTATAAAAATTTGCAGAATATATGGTAGAAACTCTTAGAATGTGGTTCATTATCGATTACTAATCTATTACCTCTAACTAAGGAGATTATCTAATTCAAATCTCTCGAATATATCGCTATTATATCGATCATTTTTCGATTTTTAACAATTAAAACTATTTAACTGTGTAAAATATATGGTTTATGTTAGCGATAACTAAATCAGTTTAAGAAACTATTAGAATAAGATTGAAATACCGCTACAACATCGTGATTTTTCGAACATTTTTTGTTTTTAAACTATTAAGTATCAAATATATATCATTCTGGTTATCGATTAGTGAACCATTTCATGAGATTAATAAAATTATATTGAAATATATCGAAAATATCGTCATTTTAATGATCATAAACGATGATCTGATTTTAAATGATTTAAATTGTATAATACTATTCTTTGTATCGATTATTGTACAATTTTAAGAGATCTAATTATCTTTTTAGATCTAATTATTAAAATTAGATCAAAATATATCTATTTTATTATTATTTTATTCATCATTATACGATTTTGAATGATTTAATATATAATATATAATATTGGCTAACAATTACTAAACGATTTTAAAAGATTATGAAAATTAGATTGAAATATAGCGAATACATCATTATTTTATCGATAAATATTCGATTTTGAACTATTTAATATGAAATATATAATATTTTAATATAAATAATATATAATATATACATTTTGGGATTTAATTACTAAACAATTCTAACAGATTGTTGAAATTAAAAAGAAATATATCAAATATATAGTTATTTTCGCTATTCCTGTTTACAAAATTATCGATAAATATCGAAGTATTAGATAAAGTGTATAACTAAAGGTCTAATTCTTAAAAATATAGCTTCTGTAAAAGTATATCTTAACCCATTCTGATAAATCATCTAAAACCCCATTCCAAAGACAAAATACCTATACCCGATACTTTTTCCGAAAAGCTATATCTTTGTTTATTGATTCTAGAGAAATCTAGAAGAGTAACACTCCAAAAATGAATCATAACTTGGCAGAAACAATAACAATAAACAATAGTAGATCTAAAATTACTAGCTGACATCTGTTTTGGTGTTCTTGGGTCTGGGTCTGGGGAGGTACTTCTATAGGCTTTCTTTAAAGCTTCAGTGTCGGAAACTATCTTTGTGTCAACACTCGAGAAAGGCTGAAAATTGTAAGGCTGAAAAGCCAATAGTAGGAAAGTAGAGCACCGAGACCGGTGAGAACAGAAAACAAATAGAAAACCCCACCCACTCACGCCTCATATGACATAATTCTGGTCTATCAGCGGTGTCGTCTCATATAATATTTACTTACCATATAATTCCCAGATACACAATGGACAGATTTATGACAAGGAGACACTCCTGCGTGCTCTACTGGCCGCCCTGTCGCCGCACGTCTTCATTCCCCAATACTGGCGATCGGAGCGCAGCTGTGTCCTCTTCTTCACGGATGACTTTGAGGTGGCCGAACGCATCCAGCAACTGGGCCGTCATGCCCAGCTACCGGACGGATTCCGGTTGATGCCCCGCGTCCGCAGCGGCATTCCCATGGTGACCATCGATGATGCCATCAAGGAGAAAATGAAAGTAACGATGGCCAAGCGCTACAATGTGGCCATCAAGGCCTTGGATCTGTCCCGTTTCCATGCCGATCCCGATCTGAAGCTAACCTTTTGTCCACTATTCCGCTCCAATGTGATGAGCGCCGTCTTGGACATCATACAGGAGAACATACCCGATCTGGAGGCCCTTAATCTCAACGATAACTCCATGTCCAGCATGGAGGCGTTCAAGGGCGTGGAGAAGCGACTGCCCAACCTGAAGGTGCTCTATTTGGGTGATAACAAGGTGAGTTTGGAGTTGGATTAGTGTTCCTAGTTGGGTGCTCATCAGTTTGTATTCCCCCTTCCAGATCATATCCCTGGCCCACTTGCTGGTCTTTCGGAATCTACCCATCGTGGATCTGGTTTTGAAGAACAATCCGTGCCGCAATCGCTACAAGGAGGCGTCCCAGTTTATCAGGTATACTATGGTGTGATTATCCTTGGCGTTTTCCCCTTTTCTGCAGAAATAGTAAAGCACATCGACGTGGGAGTCGCCGCGTCGGGAGTCACACAGGAAATAGGATTAGCATTTTGTCCATTATTCCGTTGTCTCTCCATTTGATTATAATCCTTTTATTTTTCTTTTGGTTTTTATTCCTCTGACACGGATGCACTGTGCCGAGTTGGAGAGTCCTTGGACTCGGAATGAATTCCTTGTTAATTTTTTTTTAAAAAGGATGGCTTGGAAAGCCTCAGATGATGCTGTTGAGTAGGCAAAGGCCCTTGAGGAAGATAGATTTTAAAGCTGCCGGAAGACTAAGGGCAGATCTTGCAGTGGCACAGAGCTATGGAGACGAGGCATTAAAAAATAAAGAACTTAAAAAAATAAGAAGAAAAAAATACAAAAAAAAAGAAAAGAAAAAAAATAAAAAAATAAAAATAGAACCCTTTACCAGACCCCAGGCCATCTGAGGACGCTGTTTCCAAAAATGGCTAACACACTAACTCACACAAACACACTTTAAAGAACCGCCACACTTATTACGTAACCCAACCCGTAATCCTCGCACTTCCGACGGACATCCAACATGCCCGGATATCAAGAAACAGCAACCCCACAGGGTCAATCATTAAAGACTCAATAGAGTTTATTTCAAGACCCAAAAAATGTAAAATTAAAAAAAAAAAAAATATAAACCTAACTAACCACCCACCCACCTACCGTCCAACGTGCGCCGCGCGCTCACCCAGCTCGCATCGCCCCGCCCCGCCCCCATCGCCGCCACATACCGAAGGGGCGCTTGGACGCCCGGTTGTTGCAACAGCGGCGGTTGTCTGGAAGAGTCGACGCCGGCGCCGTTGGCGGTAGTAGTGGTAGTAGTCTCTAGCAGCACACCAGCCCAGAAGGTGGCTGGTGCGGAGGAGGACGATCGACCGACGGACATGTGGACGAAGGACTCGTATTACTGCGGCGCCAGTGGCCGGAAAAATAACGAAAAATAAACACTGTGTTGGGTTGCTAATATGATCTCACATATAACATATAAAATGTGAACTTTAGTAGAATTTTTGTTTTCGGGCTTGTGTTCCGGCGGAAAATGCGAATACCAGTGACGAACGATATACACAAGACACTATAAACACAAGACAAAGCCAGGCCAGCAAAGATTAACCATAAAGCTTTGGGGTCATTGTTGAAAAAAAAAGAATTAAAAAAAAAAAAGAAACTTAAAAAATAAACAAAAGAAAAACAAAAAAAAAGAAATAAAAAATTATCAAAAAAAAAAAAGATGCCTTTAGAGCACAATGTCACACTCGTATAGCTACTTTCCACTGATTTTCCAATTTTCAAGAAAAATAATCCACAAAAAGGCACCGAAAAAGCCTTACAACCAAGTTCCTCTGCCTCTTCAGCTGTCCAAAGTGCTCCTGAAAATCTATTGTGAGCCAAGTCGAGTAGTTGAAAAGATATATAATATAATATATATATATATTTGGAATGATTTCTGAAATCTATAAAACTCATTAACTCGAGCCGGGCATGCCCACTTGTAACCCATTTAATTTGTTTTATTTTACGCTATTTAACTCGCATATCCTACTCATCGTCAATGCCAACAATCGTATCTCGGCCGATTATCGAACTATTTACAGCGAAGTCCGTCGCAAGTTCCCCAAACTGCTCAAGTTGGTAAGTGAGATGATCCTCGGTAAAGGACATCCATCTTGATTATGAATTTTCTTTCCAATAAGCAGCATGATGGGAAGTAGGTAGAGGAAGTACATGCTTTGGAGTAGAAATCTTTAGAGTTTCTTTGTCTGTTTAGTATTTATACCCGGTACTTGTAGAGGACATGTAGATATGGAGGTATTTTTAAGGGTCTTTGGAGATATTTTGGTTAATATAGTCTAAAATAGGGAGCTCTTTTTAATGGAACTTTGAAAGCAGTACCAGGTATCATACAGTCTACAATTTGTAGCTCTTTTTCTGAGAAAAACGTTAGAAGCAGTACCAGGTATTAGATAGTCTTTAATTTTGAGCTCTTTTTTTGAGAAACTTTAGGAGCAGTACCAGGTATCATTCCGTCTATCATTTTAAGTTTGTTTTCTGAGAAACTTTAGACGCAGTACCGGTTATTACAGAGTATATTATTTCCTCTTTCCTGAGAAACTTTGGGAGCAGTACCAGGTATCATACAGTCTATAGTTTCAAGCTCTTTTTTATAAAATTATCGGAGCAGTACCTGGTATCATAATAGTCTTAATGTTTGTTTTCTGAGGAACTTTAGACGCGGTACCGCGGTAGTCAATTATTTAAAGCTCTTTTCTGAGAAACTTTAGTATCAGTACCAGGTATTATACAGGCTAGAATGGGGAGCTCTTTTTTAAAGAACATTGAGAGCAGTACCAGGTATCATACAGTCTTCATATTAAGCTCTTTTTCTGAGGAACTTTAAGAGCTCTTTCTCTGAAAAACTTTAGTAGCAGTACCAGGTATTATACAATATACTTGTGGGCTCCTTTTCTGAGAAACTTTAGAACCAGTACCGGGTATGATATAGTCCTCAGTCTGTGGTCTGTAAAATAGAACCTGTACCGTCCATCTCTATCTTCAAAACATAGTAATTTTTTTCTAAAAAGTTTCTTCAAAGAAACTCCCTACATTTCCCATTGCTGCCATAAAAGTTTCTCCAACTTTTAAATCCGAATCCCGATATGCATAAACTATATTGTATCCATCGTATAACTAGGATGGGGAGACTTTGGAGCCGCAAGTGAATTTTGATGCAGAATCGGGTCGAATTCCCGATACAAAGGCCTCGTTCCTGTGCGATAATGCCGGTGCCGAGGTGGTGCGCCAGTTCTTGGACCAGTACTTCCGCATCTTTGACTCGGACAACCGTCAGGCCTTGCTGGAGGCCTACCACGAGCAAGCCATGCTATCGATGACCATGCCCTCGGCCAGTCAGGCTGGAAGGTGAGTCGTGCCATTAGAACTCTACGAAATAGATAAATAATTTTATAATTTTTTTTATCGACTAGCCGTTTGACAAACTTCTGGAAGTTCAATCGTAATCTGCGTCGTTTGGTTAACAACGATCGTGATGATCATCGCACCCGTTTGCTGAAGCACGGTCGCCTGGCTTGTGTTTCCACCTTGGACGAGTGGCCAAGGACGCTTCATGAGCGTCGCACTTTCACCGTAGACTTGACGATTTTTAATGTAAGTAAAAGGGTTAAAGAGAGAGCTTTAAAGAAAGGTCTAACACTATGGTCAACTCCCCATTACAGTCCTCCATGATGGTGTTCACGGTTACCGGTCTCTTTAAAGAATTTAGCGGCGATTCGAGCACTCCCGCCTCCATGCAGTCCTACGATCTGCGTCACTTTGCCCGCACCTTTGTTGTGGTGCCCCAGAATACCGGTTATTGCATCCGTAACGAGACCATCTTTGTGACAAACGCCAGCCATGAGCAGACACGCGAATTCAAGCGCTCTCAGCACCAGCCGGCTCCTGGAGGTGTTGCCTCCACCAGTGCCGCATCCGGCATATCAGCCGGCGGGGGTTTGCAGAATCGACTCAATCAGGGCCCGGCCACCGGCCAGCCAGTGGCCATATTGCCAACCGGACCGAGTGTTGTGGCCAGCGGCAGTGCCGCCATGGGAGCAGCCGGTCTGCCGCAGGACGATGCCACCAAAATGCAAATGGTTCAGGCCATGAGTGCGCAAAGTCAAATGAATCTAGACTGGAGTCGCAAGTAAGATTAGAATCTATCATTAATGGGCTTGGACTAATCCATAACTTGTACCCTTTTCCAGATGCCTTGAGGAAACCAATTGGGATTTCAATCATGCCGCTTTTGTGTTCGATAAGCTTTTTAAGGAAAACAAAATACCACCAGAGGCCTTTGTAAAGTAAATCCCAAAAAAAAACCAAAATCCAAAAAATAACAAAAACAAGGGAAACTATATGGAAAACTGATCCTGTATATCGCCCGAAAACGTGAATTTGTTTTTTTTTTTTTTGGTATCAGTCCCTAGATTTTAGACATCTTGTTATCATTTTTTTTAAGTTAAAAATTGTCATTGCCTTGTTTTGTTTCCCCAATTCGGAAATATTGGAATAAGGGCCCATTATTGTAAACCCTTTGATAGGTTAATTTATTTTCTCCTTAATTTCCTTTCCTCTAGTTTAAACATTTCTTAATGTGCTAAAAACAACAACAAAAAAAAAACAGAAACTTATATACACTTAAGAACCATTAGGAATCTTTAAGGAAGATTAGTTTCAAAAAAAATAAAACCAAAATCACGACACAACACAGCACCCTGCGTGAAAGTCCTGAACCCGAAATTCTTTATTTTTTCCTTACCCCCCCCCCCTAAACCTTAGGCCTTACATTTAATATAAAAAGTGAATCAAGCTAACAAGAATTTAGCAAGAGGAAAAGCATTGTTTTATAAACAAACTGAAAGATGATATATGTTTTTTTTTTATTTTTAAAAAATGGACAAACTTAAACCGAGTCAGATGACAAAATTGATCCGCTTCCTTAATAGCAGAATGATTAACACTTAGCCTGTAAGTCTAAATGAGTATAAGAGCATTTGGTAAATAGGAATTATATATATCTATATATATATATGTAATATATATACTTGCCTATAGCCATCTAAACGCCAAGTGTGTGCGTCCCCGAATGTGTGCTTAACTAAGTTACATTTAAGTCTTAAATATATTTACCAGAATCCATTGAGAAACCGCTGACTTTTATTTATTATTTGTTTTTTAAGAAATATTTGGATTATAGACCAAGGCATTTACTTCGTCACCTACGTGAGGACTGTCCACGTCAACAATGATGTACACATTTGATCTCTACACAACGCCATCTAGCGGACATATACATAGTTTTGACATACTGCGCTCTTGCTGTGTAAATTACATGTGTATAGTATGTAGACATTTTCTCTACATGCACTGAAAATATTTCTGCAGACTTTTAAACAAGAAACTAGGGCTACCTGCGAAAGGTTAACCAGGATTTGGACCAGTTTTGGTATGGCTAGCATGGGGAGCAAAGTAGGGTCCCCAGAGATGGCCATATCTTTGCCAATTCTTATCCGATTCTTAAGCGGAATACCTTAAACGATTTGTAGACCGATTCTCCACACATCTGCATCAAAATCCAGACACAAATTATTTTTCAGATTTTTTGTCGATTTTTCTGGAGGACCCCCTTTGAAATTTTGTAAAATGCATGTGGAGCAACATAGGGTCCCCAGAGATGGCCCTATCTTTGCCAATTCTTATCCGATTCTTAAGCGGAATACCTTCAACGATTTCTGGATCGATTCTCCACAAATCTGCATCAAAATCTAGACACAAATTATTTTTCAGATTTTTTGTCGATTTTTCTGAAGGACCCGCTTTGAAATTTGTAAAAATGCATGTGGAGCAACATAGGGTCCCCAGAGATGGCTCTATCTTTGCCAATTCTTATCCGATCCTTAAGCGGAATACCTTAAACGATTTGTGGATCGATTCTCTATAAATCTGCATCAAAATCTAGAAACAAATTATTTTTCAGATTTTTTGTCGATTTTTCTGGAGGACCCCCTTTGAAATTTGTAAAAATGCATGTGGAGCAACATAGGGTCCCCAGAGATGGCTCTATCTTTGCCAATTCTTATCCGATCCTTAAGCGGAATACCTTAAACGATTTGTGGATCGATTCTCTATAAATCTGCATCAAAATCTAGAAACAAATTATTTTTCAGATTTTTTGTCGATTTTTCTGGAGGACCCGCTTTGAAATTTGTAAAAATGCATGTGGAGCAACATAGGGTTCCCAGAGATGGCTCTATCTTTGCCAATTAATATCCGATTCTTAAGCGGAATACCTTAAACGATTTGTGGATCGATTCTCTATAAATCTGCATCAAAATCTAGAAACAAATTATTTTTCAGATTTTTTGTCGATTTTTCTGGAGGACCCCCTTTGAAATTTGTAAAAATGCATGTGGAGCAACATAGGGTCCCCAGAGATGGCCCTATCTTTGCCAATTCTTATCCGATTCTTAAGCGGAATACCTTAAACGACTTGTGGGTCGATTCTCCACAAATCTGCATCAAAATCTAGAAACAAATAATTTTGCAGATTTTTTGTCAAATTTTCTGGAGGACCCCCTTTGAAATTTTGAAAAATGCATGTGGAGCAACATAGGGTCCCCAGAGATGGCCCTATCTTTGCCAATTCGTATCCGATTCTTAAGCGGAATACCTTAAACGACTTGTGGGTCGATTCTCCACAAATCTGCATCAAAATCTAGAAACAAATTATTTTTCAGATTTTTTGTCGATTTTTCTGGAGGACCCCCTTTGAAATTTGGAAAAATGCACGTGGAGCAACATAGGGTCTCCAGAGATGGCCCTATCTTTGCCAATTCTTATCCGATTCTTAAGCGGAATACCTTAAACGATTTGTGGATCGATTCTCCACAAATCTGCATCAAAATCTAGAAACAAATTATTTTTCAGATTTTTTTGTCAAATTTTGTGGTGGACCCCCTTTGATATTTTGAAAAATGCATGTGGAGCAACATAGGGTCTCCAGAGATGACCATATCTTTGCCAATTGTTACCCGATTCTTGAGCGGAATACCTTAAACGATTTGTGGATCGATTCTCCATAAATCTGCATCAAAATCCAGAAACAAATTATTTTTCAGATTTTTTGTCAAATTTTGTGGTGGACCCCCTTTGATATTTTGAAAAATGCATGTGGAGCAACATAGGGTCTCCAGAGATAACCATATCTTTGCCAATTGTTATCCGATTCTTGAGCGGAATACCTTAAACGATTTGTGGATCAATTCTGCACAAATCTGCATCAAAATCTAGAAACAAATAATTTTTCAGATTTTTTGTCGATTTTTCTGGAGGACCTCCATTGAAATTTTGAAAAATGCATGGGGAGCAACATAGGGTCCCCAGAGATGGCCATATCTTTGGCAATTGTTATCCGATTCTTAAGAGGAATACCTTAAACGATTTGTGGATCGATTCTCCATAAATCTGCATCAAAATATAGAAACAAATTATTTTTCAGATTTTTTGTCAAAATTTCTGGAGGACCTCCATTGAAATTTTGAAAAATGCATGGGGAGCAACATAGGGTCCCCAGAGATGGCCATATCTTTGGCAATTGTTATCCGATTCTTAAGAGGAATACCTTAAACGATTTGTGGATCGATTCTCCATAAATCTGCATCAAAATATAGAAACAAATTATTTTTCAGATTTTTTGTCGAAATTTCTGGAGGACCTCCATTGAAATTTTGAAAAATGCATGGGGAGCAACATAGGGTCCCCAGAGATGGCCATATCTTTGGCAATTGTTATCCGATTCTTAAGAGGAATATCTTAAACGATTTCTGGATCGATTCTCCACAAATCTGCATCAAAATATAGAAACAAATTATTTTTCAGATTTTTTGTCAAAATTTCTTGGGGACCCCCTTTGAAATTTTGAAAAATGCATGTGGAGCAACGTAGGGTCCCCAGAGATGGCCCTATCTTTGGCAATTCTTATCCGATTCTTAAGCGGAATACCTTAAACGATTCGTGGATCGATTCTCCATAAATCTGCATCAAAATCTAGACACAAATTATTTTTCAGATTTTTTGTCGATTTTTCTGGAGGACCCCCTTTGAAATTTTGAAAAATGTGTGGTCTTAGGAGATATTTTATCAAATATTTAGAAAATGTAATGAATCCATTAATTTTGACAAAACTAATGATTATTCATGATTTTTATATATCCGTTCAAAGAAAAATGATTATTAGATGATAAAAAATGTATAAAAATAAAGAATAATCATTATTTTTTGTTTTTTAATAAAAATTATCATTATTAAGTGTCCTCATTAAAACATATTCTAAATAAAACTAAAAAGCCTTAACTAATTCTAATATTAAACTTTAACTGTAGAGCCAAGTTTAAAAAGTATACTCATACTTATTTAGCTTCTTACTTCCTTATTTTTAAAACAAATCTCTTAATAACTATTCTTCCTTTACAAAAAGGGCATTATTTTCGGCCTGAGGTGGAATATTTGCCAAAAATCTTAAAGTATTCTCCCATGACACCTCTTGGACCAAATCCTAGGCCGCCAAAAGTGACAAAAGGAATTAAGGAAACCAGTTCGGGGCCAGTCCTTATTTGCCCACGTCCTGGCCACTCCATTATCCCCGCTGAGACAACAGCGCCCAACTGTTGAAATCGTCTGGACACAGGCCCATTGTGCGTGTGTCCCTTTCAGGAGGACTTGAGGATTTCAGGACAACATTCGTGGACAACAATGGAGTTCGAATAACAAAAAGCTTTTCTAGTTTCGCAGCTTTCCGGAATCGGGCTGCAATTTTTGGGCCACAGCTGTCCGGCAGTTCGGGCCGGTTGGTCGGCAGGACATTCAACAATTGTCCAGCAACTGGTCCTTGGCCGAGGACGGCCAGTGGTCACTCCCGTCCAAAAGGAGCGTGAGAAGCGGCTGCCGCCCAGCATCCCATCCCAAATATTCTGACCAGCTGTGGTCCACACAATGGACTCCGGATTTCGGATCAAAATTCAACTTTTGTTATTCAAAATCGCAAAGCATCTAGAATTTTAGAAGAAAGGGGCAACTGGACCAGGGATCGGGATCTGGCTAGGATGCCCACATCTGCCAAGACTAGCATTCGAATTGGTCGGAAACAAGTCTAGCTTGTTATAGTCTTAACGGTCAACCGAAGGATGTCCAGCTGCCGAAATATTATATCTTTGAGGAAAAGATTTTAATTAAATTTTTTATTTCAATTTCAGGACATTATTGTCCTTTTAGGGCAATATTTAAGGCATTTTTAAATCGATTTAAAAACAAAATACCATTTTTGGGAAAGGATTTC